TTAAGTTACAGTGGCGGCCTCTTAGGAGGGTCGTCACAAAGAGAAATAGAACTAAATAAGAAAAGAATAAAAATTACCATCTTACACAGAAATATACATATACAGACAGGTTGAGATTTTTATGATAGGGCACATATGTATTTAATTTTGACAATTTTGGATAATTATTCATAATTTTGATTTGATATTGACCATATCTAATATCTAAAATACATTTTTAATAAAGCTTTCTAATATATGTATATATATGAATAAATTTTTAATAGTTATTATTTATCGGTGACCACCTCTTAAATATAGAAATGATGTGGTGTGATAAGAACTCACTCTCACTAGTTATCATAAATTTTTCTTTCTTTAGTCAATTACCTGCAGATAAAATAACGACATTCACCTATATATATAAAAATATAGAATAACCATTAAAACCACACTCACACACGCACACATATGATATGTTTGTTTTATGTCCCTTTTTTTGGTATTTAATTTATTTGTCCAAGCGATATATTTATATTAGATAATCGAGAGGATGCAATGGATTATATTCCGGGTGTCAAGTTTGTAGAGTCCAAAAGGACTTGGTGTCATTTCTTCAAGAAACTAATACAAACACAACGACACACAAAGTGATATACAAGGCATTTAGGGAAGTAATAAAAAAATATATATAAAAAAAAATATTTCATTCTTTGCAACACAATTCAAGAGCTTGAAACCGACACCATTTTGGCCTTAAGCATCCCATATATGCAATTGGTCCGATTGTCCCATCTGGCATTAATGTTCCACTAGCTTAAGGACAGAGTTTGACTGCATCCAATGGCTCAACACCAAGCCCCAAGGCTCAGTTTTGTGCATCTCATTTGGTAGTTTCATTCCTTCTAGAAAGAGTGATATTGAAGAAATAACACCAATTGGGCTATTTTGGGCCATGATATTTTGGGCTTTCAAGAGCCTTATGCTCAACCAATTGGGCTTCAAGAGGAGATCGAAGACAAGAGTTTGATTGTGACGTGGACTAATGAGATTAGTCTCGTTCATTTCACCGATTTGAGTTTTCAGTTTTAAATTTTTACAGTAAAAAACTATCAGAAAATGTCACATCTAACTTTTTTTACTACAATAAAAAACTCTCAAAAAATGTCACATCTCAACTCGAATCCGCGAGGCGTAAAATTATATCACACACTCCTCTTAACACATTGTGGATGAAATTCGGTACTCAAAAAGTCTATGCTCGTGCTACGGTGTGCCATTGCTTTGTTTTCCTCTATTGGGAGATCAGCTCACTAATAGGAAGCTAGTGGTTGATGATTGACGAAGGTGGAGGTAGCCGAGAAGATTGACCATTTGATGAATGGATAATTAAGGTGAGAGACTTTCGAGTATTTCTTGGCAACAAATGGATCATCGGAGAAGAATTTGTGTCGATTTATTACTGATGTCAAGGCAGAAATTAGTGAACGGATGTGACGTGTTGGGTGGCAAAATATATCTGCAGTAATATTGCGCTATTTATTATGGCCTTGTTCATTTTGTGAATTCGAGTTAAGATGTGACATTTGCTGATAGTTTTTAGCTGTAACCGAATAAGTTAGATGTGATATTTTTTAAGAATTTTTAATTGTAAAAACCTAAAACTGAAAACTTGAATCGATGAAATGAACAAAGTCATATCTATTCTTTTAGGTTGATCCACGTGTTACTTTTCAAATTTAAACAAATCATTAAAGTGATGGCTTAATGGTTAGTATACTTAGTTCATGTTTGTATTTTAGTTCTCTTAAGTGAATTTTAGCTAATTAATCTTATGTTTTCCTTTTACTTAATTAAGTTTATTATAATTATATTTTCCAAAATTAGTTTTTCATAAGTATAAGCTATTTTAATTAAGAATTTAACAACTTACATCAATTCGAATCAATTTTTTCTCAAGTGTGTGAGCTAATGAGTCAAGTTTGAGTTGTGTAATCTGTCACTTCCAGAATTATGACCCTTTATTAATAGCAACTTACAGTGATATCTATCTACCACTAATATAAAACTAATCCACACTTTGACTTTCCTTTGAAAGCATTGATGCGCTCAACTGCTACAGGAATGTAGTAGCTAGACCTGACCGATACCTTCGAAAACATTAAGGCCGTTCATTTTATTGATTTGAGTTTAAAATTTAAGTTTTGTTATAGTAAAAAGTTCTCAAAAATAGTTACGTTTAATTTTTTTATTACAGTAAAAAACTCTCACATAAAATCACATCTCAACTTGAATTAAAAACTCGAATCAGCAAATTAAACGGACCCTTAAATCAAACACTAATTTTTAAAGACCATTTTTTACTTTTTGTAAACAAATAAAAATTTAAACCAAAATTATAGTTCCAAATTTAGAACTCTTGTACCAAACGCTCCCTAAACTTGATGACAATTTAGACAGATGAGAACAAAATATATATTAATTTAGAGTGGCAAGAAAGAGATAGGATAAGCATAAAAGTTAATTGGCACCCATGAATCTGCTGACCCTTGTCCTTAACCAAATAAAACTTCAATATTATATATATATATATATATATATTGAACATATCATGTCATATCATATCCATTGATAGCTGTCCCAATTTTTTCCATGGAGAAGGAGAAAAACCATTCAAAGCCTCATGCTATAATGTTTCCCCTCACTTACCAAGGCCATGTGACCCCATCTATCCATCTAGCCATGAAACTAGCATCAAAGGGCTTCGCAATCACCTTTGTCAACACAGAATTCATCCACCACCAATTAACCAAATCACAACCCAATAGCACCTCCGCCGCTGCCATCGAAGACGACATCTTCACCGGAGCCCGTGAGTCGGGCCTTGACATACGCTACAAGACGATGACCGACGGTTTTCCATTGGATTTCAACAGAATTTTAAATCCGCAATTCGTTGCGCTAAACTTTCTAAGCCTCCCTGTCCATGTGGATGAGCTTGTTGGAAATTTAGTTAATTCTGATCCATCAATTTCTTGCTTAATTGCGGATACTTTCTACACATGGGCATCACATATAGCCCACAAGTATAAGCTTGTCAACATTTCTTTTTGGACCCAACCGGCTTTGGTGTTCAACATATACTACCACATGGAACTCCTCATTACTAATAGTCATTTTCCTCCACAAGGTATGCCATGTCCCCAAATAATTTTCATACACAATACTTGTATAAATTCTTTTTGTAGTGTAATATACATATATAATATTCTTAAAAATGAGGAATATTTTTGAAACATTTCATATTTTTGGGTTTCTAGAACTAGTGCAACATGAAAATTTCGTAGTTTGGCATCTTTTCTTAACCTTTTTTTTTTATTGGCAATTTAGTTTCTAAATTTTTAAATGAGTAGCAATTAACTCTGACCGTAATGGGAATTAAATCTTAGAAAATTTCACGACTAACTCGAGGATTAAATTAAGAAGAAAATAATTTCTCACAAACTAAACGTGCCAAATTATTAGACAATTAAGGGCACGAGTGCTAGAAAATTATTGTAATTAATATTAATTGGAGTTAATTTGCTTTTTGTAAATAACATATTCGTAGATAATTAGTATGGGACTCTGATTATTTCTAAATATTATCTAGATGAGCAAAAGGACACAATTGAATACATACCAGGTGTGAGGGTTATAGAGCAAAAGGACTTGCCATCATATCTTCAACAAACTAATACGGAGGGGCAACAATTCTTAGATAAGGCATTTAAGGAAGTCAAAAAAGCAGATTTCATACTTTGCAACACAGTCCAAGAGCTTGAATCACATTCCATTTTTGTCCTTCAAGAGAAAAAATCCATATATGCAATTGGTCCCCTACTTAATTTTCCAAATGGGTTCACTAAGAGAAATATTGTTCCCACAAGCATGAGGACTGAGTTTGACTGCAGCCAATGGCTCAACACAAAGCCTCAAGGTTCAGTTTTGTACATCTCGTTTGGTAGCTCCATTCCTTCTCAAAAGAGTGACATTGAAGAAATAGCACATGGGCTTGTGAAAAGTGGGGTGAACTTCATATGGGTTCTTCGTCATGATTGTGTGAGTTTTGAAGAGCCTTATTTTTTGCCAATTGGGATTCAAGATGAGATCAAAGGTAAGGGTTTGGTCGTGACGTGGACCAATCAGATTGAGATTATGTCACATCCTTCAATAGGAGGGTTCTTAACACATTGTGGATGGAATTCGATAATCGAAAGTCTACAATGTTCCGGTGTTCCTCTTTTGTGTTTTCCGCTAAGGGGAGATCAGTTCACCAATAGGAAGATAGTGGTCGATGATTGGGGGATTGGAATAAACCTATGTGATAGTAAGCCGTTGACTAGGGTGGAAGTAGCAGCAAAAATCAACCGTTTGATGCTTGGAAAATCAGCTAACAAGTTGAAGAAAGAGGTAATTAAGGTGAGGCAGATGGTATTGAATGCCTTGCCGATAAATGGTTCATCAGAGAAAAGTTTATCCAATTTTATTATTGACGTGAAGGCCAAAATTAATGGACGAATTGCCGATGATCAATAGGACGAATTGCCGATGATCAATAGGTCAAATGAGATGGAACAGGGTAGCATAGGATTGAGTTTATGAGGGCATGTGTTTAAAAAAATAATGGACAAATTTGACAAATCCTCTTAAAGCTCTTTTCTCTTTTTTTTTTTCCCTTCTTTTTTTCTCTTCTCTATCTCTTAAAGCTTTTTTGCCAAGTTCTTCAACTGTTGTAACGGTTGCTTTGATGACTACAAATTTTTACTAGAGCAAGTTATAACTTATTCATTATTTTAGTGTTGAAACTTCAAAGAAGTTCAAATATTTATTTGTTGTCATTAAATGTAATTTCAGGACCTTTTTGGAAACTTTTGATTCACTAAAAAGGGTGTGAAGATCAAACTAAAGGTTCAAATTAGATACTTGATGCCGAATCCAAGACAGAACGTATCAAAATACCACATTGAACATCCTGCAATGATGGTAACTTATTTCATGTTTATAAAACCATGAGATCATGCAATTCTTTAAAATCACAAAAAATGAAGCTAAATTTGGAATGGAAAGTGGATTTCATTCTATGCAACACAGTTGAGGAGCTTGAATCCGATAACATTTTTGTCTTACAAGATAAAATCAACCAACAAATGCATTGGCCCATTAAATTCCGTATCAAGAATTTTTATTCAGGTTAAAAGAATAGGATGAGAATTAAATTTAGAACTTCAAAATAATCAATTTTATTTCTCCAACATAAAATTGGAACGGAATAGCTGCACATATCCTATACAGTATATACCCACTTTTGATCGTGAAAACATTAAAAGCAATAAAAACGCATAGATGCTCTTAAAATAAATAAATAAATAGAGTCATGTGAGAACAGGTTGAAGATAAGGTAATAACTATAAGCAATCAAAAGGTCATCCGTTCAAGACACAAGTAGCTATATATAGCTATAGTATATCAGAGATCAATAATTCACTTCTTAACGAGAGAAAAGTCTTTGGCAAAAGCTAAAAAAAACAAAAACAAAACAAAACAAAACAACGAGAGAAAGTTCAAAAGTTATAAAAGCAATACCTTCGTATACGAAACCATCGTCTTATGTCTAGCTTTTTAACAGTAGTTTTCACAGGAACTATCGTTAAAAATGTCTCTTGAGTGACATTCGCGTTACATCGCACACATATATTTCACGGTGGCTGATACCGGCGGAAATTTCTTGATTTTTCTTGATTAATAGAGATTTTACAGTTATGAAACCTTTTAATGATGGTTCTTAATTATCATGAAAAACCTCTTTTTTTGAACTTGAGGGTAGAGTGTTTGAACTAAATTTACAGTGTGAATTTATTAATTTACCGCCATGTAAAAACCCATTTTTGTCCTAGTGTAAGAACATTATATATATGTACATGTGCCAGCTAAGATATAAAAACCTGTGCTTCTGAAGAAAAAGAAAAAAAAAAAATCAGCTTACTCTTTTGGCCATGGAGAACAACAATTCAAAGCCCCACGCTATAATGTTTCCCCTTCCATACCAAGGCTACGTCACTCCATCTATCCAACTAGCCATGAAACTGGCCTCAAAGGGCTTCACTATAACCTTTGTAAACACTGAATTTATCCACCACCAAATTATAACCAGCTCACAACCCGATTATAGCACCGTCGACGGCGGATCAGGAGACGACGATATCTTCGACAAAGCCCGCGATTTAGGCCTCGACATCCGCTACAAGACGATGACCGACGGTTTTCCATTGGACTTCAACAGAATGCTTAATCATGGACAGATTGTAGAAAAAAAACTTTCTAGGCTTCCCTGCCCATGTTGATGAACTTGTTGGAAACTTAGTAAAATCTGATCCATCAGTCTCTTGCTTGATTGCGGATACTTTCTACACATGGGCACCACTGATTTCCCAGAAGTATAAGCTTGTCAATATTTCTTTTTGGACTCAACCGGCTTTAGTCTTCAATATCTACTACCACATGGACTTCCTTATTACTGATGGTCATTTTCCTCCGCAATGTAAGTCCTATCCGTAAATAGTTTCTCGCATAGTTGCACTAAAATTTATATTAGATTCTTTCAGTTTTGCATATATATATATATATATATATTTCATTTTCACACTCTTTTTAAGAGTTTTTTATTATTCATTTTAGATAATCTTAAGGACACTGCCATCGATTACATACCGGGTGTGAAGGCTATAGAACCAAAGGACTTGTCATCATACCTTCAAGAAACCGATAAAGGGCCTCATGAGTTCTTCGATAAGGTATTTAAGGAAGTAAAAAGTGCAGATTTCATTCTTTGCAACACGATTCAAGAGCTTGAATCAGACACCATCTTTGCCTTACAAGAGAAAAAACCGATATTCGCAATCAGTCCGCAAGTACTTTCTCCATTCGGGTTCGCCAAGAGCAGCACCGTTCCGACGAGCCTAAGGGCCAAGTTTGACTGCAGCCAATGGCTAAACACCAAGCCGCGAGGTTCGGGTTTGTACATCTCATTTGGTAGCTTCATTTCACCTAAAAAATGTGACATTGAAGAAATAGCACATGGGGTTTTGTTTAGTGGAATGAACTTCGTATGGGTTCTTCACCATGATGCTGTGAGTTGTGAAGAATCTTGTGTTTTACCATTTGGATTTGAAGATATGATCAAAGATAAGGGCTTGATAGTTCCATGGTGTAACCAAGTTGAGGTGCTCTCACATCCTTCAATAGGAGGGTTCCTCACACATTGTGGATGGAATTCGATACTCGAAAGTCTACAGTGCTCCGGTGTTCCGCTTCTGTGTTTTCCTCTAAAAGGAGATCAGATCACCAATAGAAAGTTAGTGGTTGATGATTGGAGGATTGGACTCAACCTATGTGATAGGAAGCCATTGACAAGGTTGGAAGCAGCAGATAAGATCAAATGTTTGATGAGTGGGAAATCGGACGGTCATGAATTGCTGGAACAGGTAATTAAGGTGAGGCAAACAGTAGGGAATGCCATGGCCAAAGATGGTTCATGTGAGAAGAATTTGCACCAGTTTATTGTTGATGTGAAGGTCAAAATTGGTGAGCGGATTATTTGACAATAGCAATAACGGATAGATATAGATTCATAAAATTAATTCATTGAATATGGAAGTGTTTAGGTAAAGGATTAATTTCTTCAGACAACAAAATCTGAGCAAAACTTTTGTCAACTTCTATTATTGTAGGTTATTTCCCAAAACCATGGGCTGAATTTTCTAAGCTTTGTACGTTATTTAAGATATGTTTGTTTCACAACTCAAGTTGTGAACTTGAGTTGTTTATGTGAGAAAAAAATATTATAGTAAAAAAAGTTAAATTTGAATTTTTGTGAGAAAAAATACTATAACAAAAGAATTTGAGTTGTTAAAAGAACAACTCAAGTTGAATTTGAACTTTTGTATGATTTTTAGTTTCTAGCATGTGACTGATTCTAGTGTTGTTTCGATTAAATATGCAACGCTTCAACCCACCATGGGGTCTCTCTTGCGGGAACCCCGACATAGCTGGGTCATATACTCGTTATCCATACGTACTATCTCCTCTGGACACCTAGCGGCCTTCAGGGATTTTTTCGCGTTACCCAACACTTGAACTCAATACCTTCCTATTATAACAAGTATAAAACCCAACTATGTCGGGGTCCTACAAGGTGTACCCATGGGAGGTTGAGGCATTACAAAAAAAAGGTCAATTGGTACCAATACTTGACTTAAGAATCTTATAAAGAGGGAGGTCTTGGATTCAAGTGTTGGGGGACGCAAAGAAATCCCTAAGGGCCGCTAGGTTCTTAGAGGGGACAATATAGGTGGACTCCATGGGTGTTGATACGTTACAAAATAATAAAGTTTTTTCTTTTGTTTGGAAAATTTAGAACAAAAAAAAAAAATACTAATCATGCTGTGCCTTTGTCAAATAATATTTGAAACACATTAGAAAAAAAAAAAAAAAAAAAGCTTGAATGAAATTAAATCATTAAAGAAAAAAAAAAGAGAAAAGCAACGGAAAAGAGATAAAAGGAGAAACACAGAAAGCACTGAAAAGAAGAAAGGAAAAAAAAAAGTAAAGCATCATTTATGAGAGATAATGATAGACAAATAAGAGTTAAACATAACAACAACAATAAAACTTTAATTCCAACTTAATTAGGGTCGGTTATATAAATTTTATTCTTTCACACATAAGAGTTAAACACAAAAGGGAAAAAAAAAGGTAAAGCACAAAAATGACAGAGTTAAAAAGAAAGAAAGATCTGGTTTTAAAGGTAAGAGACTGTGATAGATAAAAGAGAATGAGAAAAAAAAAAAAAGAAAAAAAAAAGAAATGCGTAAAAATGTCAAAAGGAATAGTAAAAAGAAAGAAATGAGAAAAAAAATACAAGCACTAAAACGGTGTGGAATGGATGATGAAAAGAGGGGAAAAAAAAAAGAAATGCGTAAAAATGTCAAAAGGAATAGTAAAAAGAAAGAAATGAAAAAAAAAAATACAAGCACTAAAACGGTGTGGAATGGATGATGAAAAGAGGGTAAGAGACTAGAGTAGATAAATAGAAAAGAAAAAAATAAAGAAAAAGAAAAAATAAGGTGAAAATGTCAAAACAAAAGTAAAAAGAAAGAAAGTAAAAATAAAAAATAATAAAAAAGTGCCACAAAGCTCCATTATAAACTAGACATTTTTTTGGACGAAATTGAGTTATGACTGTCAATTTTCTCTTCTAATTTTCAGTATTCGGTGGGAATCAATAAATTATAAAGTTGTTTTCCTAGCGTTTTGTGTGAATTAACATGTTAATAAATATATATACCTTAAGTTTTATTAGTTTACTTGTTCTAACCTTCTGCAACATCACGATTCAGTAAAAGTTATGTTGCCTTGGCCAAAAGATGGTTCATGTGAGAAGGAAAGGTCAAAATTGGTGAGCTGCCAAATATCATATCAAGAATAGATAGAAACAGTAAGTATTTTGGTCCATTACATACGTAACTTCAGTCAATAAAATTCTAGTCTCACTCATATAAAGATGGTCTAAGTAGGGCTGTCAATTCGTGTTGGCGGATCGTGTTCGTGTTGTGTTGAATCTCTCAGTTGACACGAATAGATTTGACCCGAACACGACCCGTTTATTAATCGTGTTAAAATACAAAACCTAAATATGACCTGTACATTGGCGAGTTGACACGACACAATACGACTAATCCGTTTATTAAACAGGTCGTAAACGTACATGTCGATCCGGTGATTATCTGCTAACACGTTTATAAAATAAGTGATTAATAAGTCTCGTTAACCTATCAAGAATAGATAGAACAGTAAGTATTTTGGTCCATTACATACGAAACTTTAGTCAATAAAATTCTAGTTTCACTCATATAAAGATGGTCAAGTACGTATCCAATCGTCAACCAAAAACAAGAGGCCCAAAATTTATATATATCAAGTTTTTGTACCACAAAAACATTCATTGTTTCAGCTTAATTAGTTTCTCAAACCATTTCACCATTTTTTTTCCCCTCCAAAAGCCCCATGGAGAACACTTATACAAAAAAGCCTCATGCAATTATGATTCCCCTACACTACCAAGGCCATGTCACCCCTTCTGTAAATCTAGCCATTAAACTTGCCTCAAAAGGCTTCATCATCACCTTTGTCAACACTGAAATAGTCCACCACCAAATAACCAAATCAAAAAGCTTCAACACCACAGAATTAGAAGAAAAGGATCGTGACATCTTCGCCGGAGCTCGAAAATCAGGGCTAGACATACGCTACAAGACGGTGAGCGACGGTTTTCCGTTGAGTTTCGATAGATTTCTCAACGCCAAGCAGTTCGGTGAGGGCAGTCTGCATGTGTTCCCGGCTCATGTGGATGAACTTGTTGGAAACTTAGTTAGAGAAGATCCCTCGGTTTCTTGCTTGATTGCTGACACTTTCTTTACATGGACTTCATGGATAGCCAAAAAGTATAAGCTTATCAATGTTTCTTTCTGGACTGAACCAGCTTTGGTCTTCACTCTCTACTATCACGTGGACCTTCTAATTCAAAATGGCCACTTTGCTTCTAATGGTATGTATATAGGTTTTCTTTTCCAAAACTAATCTATTTTCTTTATAAGATTTTGTGTTAGTTTGAGAAAAGTGCACGTTTAGTACTCAATTCTAGTATATTAGAAAATTTTTGTAATTTTTGTAATTTTTTTTTTTTTTTAAAGAATAATGCTCGGTATTTGAAAGGCAACAAACCCCCCCTGTTTTCTTTCCTTTTTTTTTTTTTTTTTCCCTCCGTGTGAAATATCAAAGATGAATGTCTTTTTACCATAAAATTCTATATATGCGTTTTATTGATGAATTAATTTTTTTAGTTTGACATACGCAGTACAACAATACTAATCTTGTTAAAAATTCCAATCTAATACCAATTGACTTGTTGCTTTTCAATTGGTGAAGGTTATTATCTCTGTTTAGAGAAGATTCTGCTTGTATTTCACTCATAATTGTTAACAGACAAGTCACACATCGCGTTAGTTAGCATTTATTTATATATTTTGTTAGAGAATCAATGAGCTTCTCATTTTTGATTGAATGGATTAGATAATCGCGAGGACACCATTGAATACATACCTGGTGTCAAGGCTATAGAACCAAAGGACTTACCATCATTCTTTCAATCAACTGATACAAACACACTTCGACACCGGATCATATATAAGTCCTTCGAAGATGTTAAGGCCGCGGATTTCATTCTTTGCAACACGGTCCAGGAGCTTGAATCCGACACCATTTCGGCCATACAAGATAAGCAGCCAATATATGCAATTGGTCCTGTTTTACCATCCGAGTTTACTAAGAGCATTGTTCCGACAAGCCTAAAGGCCGAGTTCGACTGTAGCCAATGGCTAAACAGCAAGCCTCAAGGTTCAGTTTTGTACGTTTCGTTTGGGAGCGCTCTTCCTTCTAAAAAGAGTGACATTGAAGAAATAGCACATGGGCTTGCGCTTAGTGGAGTGAATTTCATTTGGGTTCTTCGCCCTGATGCTGTGAGTTATGAGGAGCCTTATGTTCTACCACTTGAAATTGAGGATAAGATCAAAGATAAGGGCTTGATAGTTCAGTGGTGTAATCAAGTTGAGGTGATTTCAAATCCGGCAATCGGAGGCTTTTTGACACATTGCGGATGGAATTCAGTCATGGAAAGTCTACGGTGTGGGGTACCGTTGCTATGTTTCCCTCTGTTCACCGATCAGCCTACTAATAGGAAGCTGGTGGTTGATGATCTGAGGGTTGGAATCAACCTTTGCATTAGGGAGCCGTTGACGAGGTCGGAAGTGGCGCAGAAGATCAACCGTTTGATGAGCGGAAAATCAGCTGAAGAATTGAGGAAGGAGACAATGAAGGTGAGGTCAACATCAGAGAAGGCCTTAGCCATAGCTGGTTCATCAGAGAAGAATTTGTGTCAGTTCATTGATGATGTGAAGGATAAAATTAGTGAACTTTTTTTGGAAAATAGTAATAATAGATAGATAGCTACAATCAATTCATTGAATTTCTGGTCCATTTACTTCAAACAATAAATTCTGAGCAAAACTTTGGTTTTGTGGGTTGGATTTTCTAATCTCTGTAACTTTCTAGTGTGTGACTGATACTAAAGTATTGCGATTGAATGATAAACTAAATCTGATTCTGTCTGCCTTTAATATCTATACCAAAATATTTTATATCTCTGTCGTTGATTTTGTTAAGGATTTTCTTCTTTTTCAAAAATTATGTGGTAGGTACAAAAAAAAAAAAATCATAATTTTATCATGCAAACTTGGAGCATTAGATGATAGCTGAATCATATTCGACAAAAAAAAAAAAAAAAGTTCCTTTTATTTTTGAAACAAAAAAATTGCAAATTCAGTTCATAAAAATTTAACTGATGGAGTATTTTTAACTGAGAGTATTTTTATCCTAAAAAAGAAATTTTACATTTGCTAGACAGTTGATTGGTTATCTCCTTTCAAGGGTTGCGCTGTTAATTATCTTGTCCGAATTAACTATTACTGCGGGATTGTTGGAGATTTACTGCTGGATTAATCCAACGCCGGAATCTTAACTTCAAATTGTAACTCTTTAACGGTTAATGGTTGTTACTGGACTAAAAATTAATAAAACAGTAAATTGCAATGTTGCACTCTAAACTATTTGGTTTTGCATAATGCGCCATAAATTTTGAATTTTGGCATATTGCACTTAAACTTTAATATCAATTGCAATTAAGATCCAATAGTTAAATTCAAATTGACGATTTAAAAGACGAGATTGACACATAAAAGATAAAAATCGTTATTTTTTAAACTATGTCAAAGTGTAAATCTCGTGTCTCAACTTATCAATTTGATAACGTCATCAGTTATTGAACTTCAATTGTAACTGATTTTAAAATTTAAGGTGCAATATACTAAAATTAAAAGTTTAAAGTACATTATGCAATTTTCTCTTAATAAAATGTTAAGTACTCATTCCACGTTGTTTGACATTACATGATACTATTATAACCAGCCAAATTGGAAATGACTTTCCAGCTAATCTATTGAGGTGTCAGTTTCATTTTGTGCAACGTCTTTTTCTTTTTAATTTTTAATTTGAGTATATTGTGATATGTCATCACATCCTTTCTCCATTCTTTGTCGTGTTATGCTTTTCCACCACTTTTCTCTTGCTTCTTTATGAATATTCTCGTCAACCCAGTAAACTCTCTCATCAAGCCAGTAAATTCCAAACTAAACAATAATTGAAGCACCTTGATTTGTTCCCTTTTGATGATTTTGACCCTTTTTGAGATTTTTATTTTCCTTTCCCCTTGTTACAAAAATTGCGAAAGTTTTTTTTTTAGTTAAAATTGTGGGTTCAATTGCAAGTTTTATGGGGGTATTTTGAAATCAAGGGAATATAACCAAAAAAAAAAAAAAAGAAAAAGAAAAAGAAAGAAAACGTTTCTCGAACTAATCAGATTATCTAGAGCATAAAAATAACAGCAACTTATATTTTAAGCTGTAGTACTTTTCCCTTTGATTCCCTTTAATGTAACTTGTAAAAATAATTTGGAATGACCACATTATTATGCTGTTAATAACCATAAAAAAAAAAAAAAAAAGACAGTTATTACAGACAGCGACAGAGAGAAGAACAATTTTGGCTGTTAATCATAAAGTATTTGGAATCCTTTGTTTCTTGTCTCACATATAGAACAACTTCAAATCCTTAGCCAAAACAAAAACCAGAGGCCCAAAATTCATCTCCACTTTTCTCCCACTTCAAAATTTCATTTCAGATTATTTCCTCAATCATCTCACCATATCTTTTCCTCCAAAAGCCTCCATGGAGAACACTAGTACTACAAAGCCTCATGCAATTATGATTCCCTTTTATTTCCAAGGCCATATCACTCCATTTGTAAATCTAGCCATTAAACTTGCCTCAGAAGGCTTCACCCTCACCTTTGTCAACACTGAAATAATTCACCACCAAATAACGAAATCAAAAGACTCAAACACCACAGAACTAGAGGAAAACGATCATGACATATTCGCCGGAGCTCGAAAGTCGGGCCTTGACATACGCTACAAGACGGTGAGCGACGGTTTTCCGTTGAGTTTCAACAGATTGCTCAACATCGACCAGTTCTGCGAGGGCGGTCTGCATGTGTTCCCGGCTCATGTGGATGAACTTGTTGGAAACTTAGTTAGAGAAGATCCCTCGGTTTCTTGCTTGATTGCTGACACTTTCTTTTCATGGACTTCCTGGATAGCCAAAAAGTATAAGCTTATCAATGTTTCTTTCTGGACTGAACCAGCTTTGGTCTTCACTCTCAACTATCACTGGGACCTTCTCGTTAAAAATGGCCACTTTGCTTCTAACGGTACAAACCTTTTTCTTATCGAAAACTAATCCTCTTTTATGCTTTTGTATAGAGATTTTAAATAGCCAAGTTTCAAAAAAGCACCCTTCTAGTGCTTACTCATTAATTGATAAGTGACAAGTCATATGTCGGGTTAGTTGATATTTATTTATTTTTAAGATTTGATCACGGAATCAATGAGCTTTCTCTTATTTGATTGTCTGGATTAGATAATCGTGAGGACACAATCGACTACATACCGGGTGTCAAGGCTATAGAACCAAAGGACTTGACATCATTCCTTCAATCAACCAATACAAACACAATACAACACCGGAGCATCTACAAGTCATTTGAAGACGCCAAAAACGCAGATTTCATTCTTTGCAACACTGTCCAAGAGCTTGAATCAGACACCATTTTGGCCATACAAGAGAAGCAGCCAATGTATGCAATTGGTCCCGTTTTTCCATCTGAGTTTACCGAGAGCATTGTTCCCACAAGCCTAAAGGCCGGTTTTGATTGCAGCCAATGGCTTGACACCAAGCCAAGAGGTTCGGTATTGTACATCTCATTTGGTAGCTTCGTGGTTTCTGAAACAAGTGACATTGAAGAAATAGCACACGGGATTGTGCTTAGTGGCGTGAATTTCATATGGGTTCTTCGCCGTGATGCCGCAAGTTATGAGGAGTCTTATATTCTACCAATCGGAATTGAGGATGAGATCAAAGATAGGGGCTTGATAGTTCCATGGTGCAGTCAAGTTGAGGTGATTTCAAATCCAGCAATTGGAGGCTTCTTGACACATTGTGGATGGAATTCGATATTAGAAAGTGTATGGTGTGGGGTGCCATTACTTTGTTATCCTCTGTACGCTGATCAGCCTACTAATAAGAAATTGGTGGTTGATGATTGGAGGGTTGGAATCAATCTTTGTGATAGGAAGCCATTGGGGAGATCAGAAGTGGCACAGAAGATCAACCGATTGATGAGTGGTAAATCAGCTGAAGAATTGAGGGAGGAGACGATGAATTTGAGGACAACATTAGAGAATGCCTTGGCCACGGATGGTTCATCAGAGAAGAATTTGTCTCAGTTCATTACTGATGTAAAGGCAAAAATTGACAACCGCAAGATCAGTTGTGGCAACAAGGCATGAAAGACATTATCAGTTACTTTTTTTTTTTACGATTGTAAAACCATATGTACGGCTTTGTGGCAATTGAATGTCCCAATGATACCACATTCTCAGCGATGTATACCTGGAAACAATTTTCAAGTACGATCTCTAGAGACCGTTGAAAATGCACGTCCTCAACTCATCATTAGTGGCCAATGTACATAGACAATCCATCCAAAGTAATTAGATCGAGGAAAATTGAATTAAAAAAAAAAAACAAAACAAACAAATTAAAAAGAAAAACTAATTAAGGACAACAAGAATGTACAAGAAATCAACATGGAAGACCAGGGGATGTCCACTTAACAAAGTCCTTTTTGGTCTGTTAAGGTTGCACACAGCTCCTCACATCAGCTTTGTGATCACAATTTACAGAGAACTATCAAAACAATAAAAGCCGGAGCAAACTATGAGAATTTTCTTCCGATATATTTCAATCAGAAAAACAATGCAAGCAAATGCCGGAATCTCTTTGGCTGGCAAAAGCACCTTTAGTATGCAACCATCTGAAGTCAGCTGATCTGGGAGATCATTTGTATACTCTATACTCCAACGTTAAAGCTCGCATCTAGAAGATGTCACCACCAGTAATCAATTCAACAAAGCTCAAAGTTCACTGCCAATTTTAAAATTTGAAAAGGAGGTAGTTTCTCGAGCTTCGACTGTTGATGCTGATTCTTTCTTGTCCATCCCAAAAAACGAGCAATTCTGAAACGCATCCAGACTGCTGGCTATCAGTCGGTTTAACCCACCAAGACTATCGCTCAGAATTATATCTTCACTGTGGTACTTGGAAGATGGTATATCCAAATCTAGCGGTCCTAGGGAATCAGGCTGCAGAGAGGAACAAATCAGATGAACTATCCAAACAAGCGTCTGCCTGAAAAGGTCATTTGCCACAATATAAACGAAATCAACAAATATAATATTGTGGCAAAATGACCAAGTTCAGTATAATGATTGACGTGATTTTTAGCAGAAGTGAATCAATAAAAACTGAATAGATATCTAATAGGATTCAGAATAATGGAAGCAGAAATCTGAAAGAAGTACCCAATAAATATCTGCAAGATCATTGAAATCTTTTACCGGCTCACACTCATCCATAGGATCTCCTTGAGAAGAATTATCAGTTGGCCCGTCCACATCTGATAACTCCTGCAGGAAATATTGTGTGTGTGAGACCCAATTTCACTTGCAAGCACCTATGCCTATTTTCCAGCAAAAATGATTGCCTAAATCAAACATCACCACTAACTGATACCTCATCCAAATAGCCAGAGTCCATCAAGCTTGTTCTAGCAGTTTGTTTGTAAGTGCTCACAGAAGCAACACCTAAAAAACATTGAGTCTCCTCGCGATGAACTTGGTTCCTTTGAAATAAGAAGCCATCGCATGTTTCTTCAGCATCCAAGATGGAAGGTGCCTGAGATTCCAAGATAGGTTGGCATCCCATCTTGTCTTGCTGTCGAGAAATATGAGCGGCAATAGCTGCATCAAATGAGTCACAGCTGAACGGAACCTGCTGAAGGCAGTGAGAGCTTTCAGGAATAGGTGGATGCATGCAGTTAGCATTTATATCCTGAGACATTCCTGAAAGCAGATCTCCAACACTTACGTTGGTGAGGCTGTCAGCCCACTCCCCAGCAGATAGACCGCTTCCGTTGCACAATCGCATGCCATCCTAAGTTTACAGGAAAAGTTGCATGCTCAGGAAATATTGGTAAGCACAAATGACGTTGATGACATATAGACCAAAGGCAGATTTGCAATCAATTTCACCGGATAGTTTGATTCCTACTACATAAGAACAAAATTTTCGCTGGTGACCTTACCATTAGAAAATTTCAGTTATTGCAATATAAAATTTTCATGTGATGGAAATTTCTCTCTTAATTTGTCAACTAAAAACATGCATGATGTTCATTTGAACAAGGAAAATTAAAATGAGAAGAAGTTCAATGCCCTCAATGGTGCACAAGTTGATACTATAACCTGGCATATTTATTATTATTACTCTTAAAAAACGAACAGAGAAAGATAACTACCATATCTCCCAAATGTCTTGTAATAGTCTCTTCACCAGCCCCCTTTCCATGCCACGATTTATTTACAGTAGGGTCAGAGGACTCCACCAGGTTATCAACCGGACCTTCAACGTTAGGCCTTTCATTGGGCACATTGGTTGAGGTCAACGTGTAAGTGTGGTTTTTGTTCACCGATACTAGATTATTGTTATTGGGACCCGTTGCCTGATAATTGGTTGCTGGCTGAGAGATGGATGCTGAACTCATAATTGCCTCATCCCTCGTTTCCATATTCGGATCATGCTCTCTTGGAATGCAGCAAGATGCTGCAGGTGCTTTCTCTTGCAATGCGATAGTCTCATGTTCAGAAGTGGGAAACCAACAATACCTTCAAGAATATTTGACAGTCAGTTATGATATGTATGGACTTGATATTCAACCATTTTATCTATTATGAAGTAAAAAAGTATTGAACCTTAAACGAAAAACAGGAGGGCTTCCAATCATAGCATATACATCCGCAGCACTAACAACTGAGTCCTGTGTCCATCTCTGACAACCCACCAGGCTGTCCCTTTGGGCACCATAAGGGAAAAGCATTAGCTCTCCAGATGCAATACTTGAACTACCCCATTTGCGATTCAGATGTTCCAAAACTGATGATATTCTTTTCCGACTACTAAGAGTAAGCTCAAGGTGGGGATTGTGTTTATCCTATGGACATATGGAAAGCACAACATTAGTTGCATTCGGTGAATGTTGTTCAGTTAAATCGCTAAAAACACAATGCTTATGAGTGCCCACCATTTCCAACGCTCTCCTAGTACCATCATCAATTGGGAACAGCTGGAGCTTGAGTTTCATAGCTGAATGTATGTTATTCTCAACAAAAGGACTTTGAGGAAAAGTAGGCAAAGAGTGAAGAACTTGTCCAAGAGGGTAAGAACTCTTGGTTTGCCCTGGAAATCAAAATCAAACAAACCATGACATAAAGAAATTTCTAAAATCCACCGTGAATAACATCTTTAAGGAGATATAACAAACAAGAACAATCAACAAATATGCAACTGATTTACCTGAAGTACTTTGGTCTTGTTCAATCTCTTTATCAATTGTTGTCCGCTCCAAGTGTTCAGCAGCATCAGCAACCAAAGAAACCCCAGCAATTGCCGCTTTTTCCCATTTTTTATAGGCCGCTGATGATACAACAGCTGAGAGTAAACATGTTATAGCTCAGTCCAGAGTTAACACTATAAAGTCGAAAAACCAATAATTTTATCCTTTTTGCTTTAGGTAAAATACATTTAAATCAAATAAGGTTGAATCCATAAATTTATTCTCATTCTTATATCAGTTCGTTTAACCAAAAGAAGGTACACTAAAATACCTAGAAATAACACAAAAGAAGAAAGAGTCAAAGAATGAAGAAAATCTAGCAACTCTTTTTCTTAACAGCTAAAAGGAAAAAGGAATAAATATCTGAAGCGAAAATACACACATAGATAACCTGGTTTCCTCCTTTGCCTTGCAGGCTTCATGGTAGTTGAGTCACCTTTACTGTTACCACGGTTAGTGCTTACATTTACATTGCGCTTTGATGATGCTTTTCCAGATCCTACTTTCTGAATGTTTTGACTATCAACAAGAACTAGTTTAACAGTACGATTATCCTGTCCAGGCACTCTACTCTGATTTGAAACTGAGCTTGAAACAGGAGAGCTGTATTCCCCTTGAGGAGGCCGCTTCCTAACACTTTTCTTACGATCTTTTAGGAGTTGGTGCTCCTTCATTGCGAAGGATATTACAGTCAGTTAAGAAAAAAAAAAAAAACAGAAAATATAAAGAAGAATAAAAAATAAACGGGCAAAAAAATGCTTACCAAGGCTTCTACAAATATCTTAAATCTTCGAGGCTTCAAGTGAAGTTTTGATGCTTTGCAGCTATACTTTTCTAATAAAGACCACCTGTAACAAATGGTTCTCACTTCTCAGCTTCCAGATGAGAACTTTAGCAAATATAACATTTTTATGATCCTCAAATCATTAGCTTCACTATAGATTACCTATTGTATTTGTATACCATGATGCTATGCTAATCCATTTACTCTACAAGACTATAAAAGATTGGGATTTGGGAAAGTATGCCCTCACCAGTGAGAGTCAAATACCAGGACCCAACTTCATTGGCTCCCCAACTTATAAAGCCTTTACAAACTATAGTCAAATTGAAAAAATGAACAATGTAGCTTACCAACGAAGCATGGCAGCATTAGTATCTTTAGAATTTTTAGCATCAAGATACAATCCTGGACCAAGAAGCTTGTTCATACGCCTTACAAGACGATAGTAATAGTGTCTGACCTGAAAAGCATAAAAATTCATAGAAAAGAGGATTATAAAATCAAAGAAAATATATTGCAGGAGGAAATTGTCAAGATCAGCATGCAAAAAACCCAAAACATACTATCATAATAAGTACCTGATCCTTATTTTTACTTTGCACACGACAAGTGATCTTTTCAAAATTCTGAAACCAATGAATAATGTCATTAGAAACCACCATAAGGTTAACATTCTAATACCGAAACTAATAAGAAAATAGATATGACATGCCTTGCCAACTTGTCGTAGCCCAGTAAAGAAATTTTCCTCCTCTTGACGGGTCCAAGCAGCCCACTGACGTGTTGGCTTTTTAACTGCATTTGGCAATTTGTATATCGAAATAAATTAAGAGAAAGATGCTCTTAGAGGGCGCAACCATATCATCAAAACAGCAATTAATATGTAGTTGATATTAGCGCTAATCGAACAAAATACCTGGCTGCTGAGGAACAATGTTAATTGGTGCCAATGAGGCTACCCCATGATCTCTCTCATGGATCGCAATATTCTCCGAATGGAGGTTTGCCTCAGATTGCAAGATGACTCCCGACTCCATCAGCATGTTAAATGCGCAACATCAACTGTATATGCTCATGTTCCTGGATTCAGAACGTTCAAATGATGTTTAACTTGATATTCACAATGGTGCAAGGTCCATTAGCATCACAAAAGAGGGGAAAAGAAAACAAAAGAGGAAATAAAACAACTCTTAAACAAGAAAATCAAGCTACAAGGAGTCAAACATCACAAACTAAACCCAAATTATATGTCCCAAAAACTTGAACCTACACAAGGATGTGCCATAATCCCAATTGCATTGCCGCGATCCAGTTTTTATTCAAATAACCAGAAATTTCAATAAAAGATTTTCACTTGTTCTTTAAATGATAATAAAAAATAAAAAAAAATAAAAAAAAATTGAAGTCCTTGCAAACCCTAAATTGATCAATTTCTGCCAAGAAAACCTATATTGACTTCGAGAGCAAAAGAAAAGTAGAGCTAAGCAATTAAACTTCGTTAAATAAGGATTTAAGACCCAAAAAAACAAAAAGAAAACCTCTTTGGCAGCTTAGAAAATGCAGAAAAAGAATCGACTTTTCAATCATACACAATATCAGATCCAAACAACAATACAAAACAAATATTTTTAAATTAAGTTGAATAAATTTCCAGTTTTTCTCATAATAAACAGCGACTACAAAACAAAAGATTCAAAATTTTTCCTCTATTCTTCACCCCCAATTTTCCGAGCATCCAAACAACGATTCTGGATTCAAACTAGAACGTAAACGAACAGCGCGAGCACATATTGCAATCAAAAGAACCGAATCTAAAAAATTCCAGAATTCACGATGAGTACCTGAGAGAGATTTTGAAAGGATAATCGATGGAGAAATCCCTAGAAACGAAAATGGAGGCTTCGAGCCTCGGAGAAAGCGATGGAAACCGGAGAGAATCTTCCGACAGACGTCTACAGTTCGGTGTGGTGGTGAGACGAAAAGAGAAGGAACGAATTTTACTTTCGAAGAAAAAAAAAGGAAAAAAAAAATAAACGTGATTAATTACTTCTTTTTTCAAAGGGAAAAAAGAAAGAAAGGCGTAATTAGTTAATTTCTTCAAGGCAGAAAAACAAAATGGGTGAGGTTTTCTATTTTTTTTATTGGGTCTATATTTTTGTACCAAAGGAAAGGTAAAGCACTAAAGCCAAAGCAAAAGAGGTTTAAAATTGGCCCTTTATGGTTTTTGGGGGCATTTTTATGGTTCACCTCAACACTTTGCATTCCCCCAAAAAAAAAAAAAAAAAAAAAGCAAAAATGAAGAAACCTTTAAAAGAAAGGCTTATTCAAGTTGATTATACAACCGACAGCATTTTTTTTTTTAATGCATCAAGGTATTGAAAATGCAAAAGATGGAACGCAATATATTGAATATTAAAGCATCTTTAATTTGAGATATTATCATACAAATAAATTAGGAAAAGAGAACAATTCAAGTGTCAAAATTGGGTTCACCAATCTCTAAAGGTTTACATTCTCTTAGATTTAATTTTTTTTCTTTTTGTTTTTTTTGCCCCTTTTACTTGTTAGTTTGCATAAAATTTTCAATAATTGAAAAACTTAAGAATTGATATGCTATTTTGAGACGGATCCATCAATAAGTTATAAATATATTGATGAACCACTATTTTATGAAACAATTTTAGCATTTTCGAGATTTAAGTTTTATATTTGTGCTTCTCTTGCATCTTCTTTATTATTATTATTATTATTTTTAAGGAACTTAATTTATTTATGGTCCTTACCAAAAAAGAAAAAAGTTTTTTTAATATTTTAAAATTAACAATTAGGCATCATCTTGAGCATCTTTAAACTACAAACTCTAAGATAATAATAATAAAAAAATAAATTATTCCTAAAATATTAGCCAAAAGCAATTTTAACAAAGTTTACATTTTTTTTTTAAATAAATAATGCTTGTTCCACAATACGCCTCAAGCATTCATACTTTTGATGGAGTCAAGCTTTAGATGTTTAGCACAAAACTAATTAATTAGTTAAAAATTATAAAATTCCAAAGCCGTTTCCTGAACATGAGATTAGTGGAAGTAATGGTATTTTTGTGGGGGTCCCATTTTAATTAAGCACACGGATTGAAACGCGCTTTTTTTTTTTTTTTTTTCCTCAAACCACTCTTTGCTTTGAATGTCACTGGCAAACTTAGCTCAAAGGGCATTTAAGAAGGAACCAAACGGGGAACAACGGGAATCCGGAATCCCCACAATAAAAACACATTAAAAGCCCACGATATTTTAGGATTGCCCTTGTCAGCTTTCTCAATCAGATAATTTGTCCAAAGTTTGTCCAAGTTACCAGCACCCAAAAAAAAAAGAAAAAAAAAAAAAAAAAAAAAAAACCTTTTTATATATCTTAACTTGATCATCTCACTTAAAAAAAACAAGAAAAAAAAAAAGAAAATATTTACTTTAAAAAAAAAGGAAAAAAAAAAAGAGGAGAGGAAAATCCACTCCCGTTCATGCTTAGACAAAACAATCTAGCATATTTAGTTTGAGGGTTCAAACCACCATAATTTTAGTTCAAACTGTGAACTCTCACAAAAAATTAAATTTAAAAAATTCTATTACAGTGTTTTTTTCTAAACAAAATTTAAATTATAATTCAAATCACCTGGTTTAAACCCTCAAACCAAACAAGCACCAAGACTATTCTTGACTTGTTCTCTAATAACTCTACTTGTTATTATCCTCAAAAGGCTATATATTGCCCCTATTGATTGTTATCACATGTTTTCAATAAATTAATAGATTCATGTATTAACTCTGAGACTCACTGATTGATTATTATCATGCAATTTCAACCAATTATAAATTCACATGTCAACTCTGAGACCCACCGATTGATCATTACCACGCATTTTTGACGAATCACAAATTCACATGTCAACTCTGAGACTCACTAATTACGACATATGGTCTCCAAAAATCTTACTCTTACAGGTCACTCTCTAAGTTGGTTAATGGAGGTAACTAGCATTTTTCTAAGGGTACATCTCCTGTACCTGTATGCAACAACTCACTTGTATGTTATGAATGCCTAGATTATATGGCTTAGAAATATCAAATGTGGTCCCTAAAAGGCTATAGAAATGAACCTCATATAAATGACCTCTGAGAAGTACAAAGATATCTAGTTTGTTCCATTTGAAGAACCAGCTTCATATGTCAGCTCTTCCAATAAATTTAGAAAGAATTAGTCTGTACATTGGGGCGCCACGGTCCAACACGTGTTGTTCCCAATCCGACCGAACCCCAAATGGGTTCTCCTTCAGCCACCCTCGACTGGTCATGGCATTGCTCTCTTCATGCACAATGAGTTTGCCCTTGCCATACTTCAAGAACTCTTCTTTCATTCTCATTGAGACAGCCTCTATGTCAGATTGCAGAAAGACCTAAAAATTACAAGAAAAAAGTTTGTAAATAGTTTGACTATGCTTGAAAAAGAACTCCCTGGTTTTCAATATGAAAATCGCCAGCATACATTTCCCGATTTCCGCAATATCAACACTATACATTGTGAAGAATATTGTTACTTGAAGTGATTGGTAAAGAGAGCCAAAAAAAGGAGAGAAATCAAGCTAAACATTTCCTATCAATTGAAACCAGTTTACCAAGGTGAATTCCAAAACAATGTTTTCACCTTTCCATTAGGCGCAAGAAGTTCCACTACTGCTTCAACTAATGATCTCTGCAGCATTCTCCATCTATGTTCTGGATTGTTGAAATCGGGATTCGGACACTGAATTGTGAAAAAAATGAGATCCCACTTAAAAAGTAGTACAAGATAAATTTTCACTGATATAAATTTAAGACTGTTGGAAGAATCTACTCTTTACCCTAATCCCAACTTCATTATTGTAAATAGCAGTATAGTTGAAGTGTATCCCATGTTAGCTTGTTAAGTAGTTGTTAAGTATCCATTGATTGTTCAACAAAAGAGGAACTACTGATAACTTAAATTAGCACATTTTGCTTAAACACAATGTGTCATCTCGCCTTATCATGACTCGTGACGAGAGGAGGTGACAAGTTGATTTTTTAAAAGGAAATTACTTGGAACTCCTTGAACTGATTCTGAAGAGTGAAATAAAAGATGACAACCGCTGGATCTTACACTCAACCTGTATTGACACGAGAGTTAACTTTCCAGGGTAGCTAGAAACTAGAGAATGGAACGCGGACGTTGCATTTGTCATGATGAAGTACCTGATGTGGACAATGATGTTAAAGACAAAATATCTTAATAACTTGGATACTTCAACTTTCACCAATGTGATTAAGAAAACACTTAGATTCTGAACGAAAATATTAAGAAGAAGCAATTTTGGTGACCAGACACTCAATGAGAAGTTAGATATATATATATTTTTTAATAGTCTTGATCTTCCAAAACAAACAAGTATCAAATCTTAATCGTTGAATGCTTTTGTTCCCTTTCCCTAAAGAAGCTTAATGATTGAACTTGTGCCAAAACTCTGAAAGAAATAAAACAAAGAAATAAAGGTTACGGGTGCTTACAGATTTCTTATGCCAAGTCTATGGATGGAATCTAGACAACGTGTTACAAGCTGAAAGAAGATAAAAAAGCATTGATTAAAGACTGAAGGTAGAGAACATTGCACCAAGGGTGAAGACTCCGAGGAGGAAGAAAAAAGCAGGAGAGAAAAACATTTACCGTTTTGTTAATCTCTAAACCGAGATAGTTTAAATCCTTCCTTCTTTTAGACATTCCTTGAAGAAACAAGCCATTGCCTGTAATTAATTGTCAGTTGGTCAGTTAAGAACTAACAATTGCAACTAAGAATCTAAAGGACAAAAAAAATGTAAGAAGGGGCAATATAAAGAATTATTTGACATTTTGGTTTGCTTCTATTAAAACTTCCATGCATTGATTCATAGTTCTAAGAGGAGCTTATGTAATTTATTCTGTACTAGCTAACTGTGAGAAGAATGTCAATTCCTTTTCTTCTTCTTCTTTTTTCCCCCCTTTATGTACCAAGTACCAATATTAAATGAGGAAATTAAACAATGGGAAGCCAATAAATAAAAAGGGACCACCATACCACTTCCAATGTCAACTACCAAAGGCTTGGATGGATCAACATAGACTGTGTTCCAGTCGATATCAAATGGGTACGCCTGTAAGACAAACATTAAGTGACCTGAGTAATATCATAAAGATGAGCTTAATGTGATACTGGACCTTTTAGTTCAAAATATAACATATATTTAGGTCTTTTAGAGAAAGTTTATTGACATATGGTCCTTGTCATTGCCGACCATAAAGCTCAATCTGAGGCGAGATTTACTAAAATTGAAATCAAATATTAACTTACATACATAAGGATAATACATACTCTATCTAAGGCCATGACCCCTGGAAGCTTTCTTCCTTTTAGAAACTCCCATACAACAGAAGCATTGTAAACCATATTAGAAACAGAGAAACAACTTGATTCCTTGATTAGTGCTTCACATGCCATATTCCCAACAACAATCACATCACAATCTCTTTGAGAAAGTTGATTAAGAATTTGAGCCAGTTTAGAAGCTCCACTTATACAACTGCTCTTGTGGAATTTCACTGGACCAATCCATATAATTTTCTGAAATACATCGTGGGAACCAAAATAAGGTAAGTATGACGATGGAAAAAGCAGTAATAACCATGAGTTAAGTGAGTGCTTAACATTTTTGCAGTAATAAACAACTTTGTGGTGAATTTGGATATGTTATATGTATGATTTCTTGATTAGAGTGCACGCAAAACATTATACTCATAAAAAAATAAGACTTCAGATCAAGTTCAAGCTAAAGTGAAGCCACTAATTGTTACGCTATCCCTTTTTGAGCTATAAACTCTCATGTGCTAAAGGTGATTATCATGCAAATCCAATTGAGTGAAGAACATTATTTGGAAACCAAAACCAATAATATTCTACCTCATAATGTCATTTGAAAATAGTTTCAAATTTACCTTGCATTTTGTAAGCAAGGACTTTATTTCATCCAATGACACAGGCCCAATATCAACAGGTAACCACCCTAAAATAGGAAAAGTAAATATGAAGCATCCAAATATCAGAATTGCTGTCGTTTTGCAATTTCAAGCCATGTAACAATCCCAAAAGGTCAAATTATCAGATTTAGAAAATACCACCAATTTTATAGGGAAAAGGGATAAAATTAGAAAACATTTATAAGAGGACTAGTCATTTGGAAGCAAAACGGCATGATATACAATGTCTATGAACTGGAATCTCACCATCCATAATACCATGAGAAGGAAATATCTTCAATTGCGTTGGAAGACGATCATTCTTGCACCAAAAATCTTTGGGATATAGGAGTTCTACATTTCTACTTTGTGCAAACTGGACTATATCTAAAGCTTGTTTAAGTGAACCACGTTCCACCAGATTCAAAGGCACAGATAGCCCTAAGGCATGCATTATTTGAAAAGCCATCATTCCAACAAAGACTAGTCTCTCACATCTACAAGCTAAAAACCGCAAGGCGGCCGCTTTATCAAGTAGATTACCCCCTCCAATCTGCAAGTGAAAAGAAAAATGAAAACTTGTAATTCCAAACTTCCCTTTTCCTATTTAAAGAGTTGACTAAGACAAGAATTTGGAACGAAATGCATAGAAAAATAGCAACAAAAAGGTACACACAATTGCCACATAATGTTCTCTTTCAGATTCCTTAATGTTCCTAAGTTGATTTAGGCTTTCCTCAAAGTGAAAACCAGCTAGACAGGCATAGCAGAACCGAGTAACACCGACAGTGGATGCAAGAATCCTATGAGACTGGGAAAAGGAGTCATTGACAAAAATATCAACTCTGTACGACAATGCTTCAGAAAATTCTGGGCAATTAGCAACTTCCTCTTTGAACTCTGAAAGACTATCAAGAAGAAGAATATCTGCTTTCTCAAAGCTTTCCGTCCTTAATGATTTCTCAGGAGAAATGCATCCTACTGGAACAACCTTGTACTTCAACACAGATGACAGGAAATCTGAAAATATGAAAGCATTAACCAAATGCTACCTCCTATACAAGTGAAACATGTAAGAACTTCCATTCAAGAATCCTCGTAGCCATATTATCGAAAAAACTCACGTGTGTTGTGGTCTTATCATACAGATACCTTCCTATACAAAACACAAAAATCCCTTCAAACTTGAAATTTACTTCAAATCCCTCTCCTTAGTTGGTTAGATTAGGGAAAATTTCACAATTTCTCTCGTTCAGTTAAACATTGGGAGATCATCAAAAGAATTCTATCCAAACACCTTTAATAAGTATCAACTAAACATGTTTGCTAATTTTCAAATACAAGATCAAAATCAGGACTTGCTTTTTAAAACTGTATACCTGCAACAGACTCTGAAGCAAAGGGTTTTGACTTATTTTTCACACTCCAGTCACTGACTAGAATAATTTTAGCTCCGGCTTCATGTAAATACTTAATTGTCAAGAGGGCATTTGAAGCTGATTGAGAAATTTTCTCAGCCTCTTTCCCAAACAAAATGGTGGAATCAAACCTGACCAAGACAACTTTTTCAAAGAGCTCTCCCTTTGGAAATTTCCCAAGAGTTTGTACATAAGGTAAAGCGTTTGATTCTGATTCTTCTTCATTACAAGCAAAGGCCTACGACAAAAAAAATAAAATAAAATAAAATAAAAAATTCCCAGATATGAAATGAGATTCTAAACTCAATCCATTAACAAGAATTGCATTTCACATGTCTATAGAAATTAGTGTACCTTATTATCAAGTAAGCTCTCAACGTGATTAACCACCTTCAAAGTTCCTGCCAAAGAGAAAACTAACTTTCAAATTTACTCAAAATATCTTCATTTCCCATAATTTTTCTTCTTCTTGAAAAGTTTTTGGTTTGAGAAAGAAAAGACCTTGAGAGGAAGATTGAACACTGTGGCATTTGAGAGATTGGGCAGACTCTCCGGTAAACCAAAGTGGTGGTTGTTTCTGCAGCCTTGGCCAGTGGTGGGTTTTCAATTTGGATAAAAACAGTGGTTCTTGGGGTAAACTCAGGAGAAAAATCCGACCCATTTCTCTCGCTAATTCTCTCTTTTTCTGACTACCCCGTGTTGAATATATAGATTAATAACATTGCCAAAAGATAAAAAGGCTTTTTTCGTTTTGCTTAGAGTTGAGAATTTAAATTAAAAAATAAATTTATATAAAAAGAAATAATACAATAAAAAAAATTAAATTTAAATTTTTTTTTACAAAAAATATTACAGTAAAAACTTGACTCAAAACTGAGATTCAAACCAGTGAAACCAACATGACCAAAGAAAAGTCTAGATTGCAATTTACACCCCTTGAGTTTTATTTTCTTCACCTTGGTCCATAATACCGAAATTTAGATCTAAATTTCAATTTGCAACTCATGAGTTTTGAAGACGTTTGGTTCGTGAATTAAAATCATGAGATTAGAATCATTATCAATTTACGTGTATTTTTTGTGAGAGAAAACATTGTGGTGAACCATGAACCATGATTCAAATCATAGTATGAATCTCACCTTGGTCCAAATTATCTTTTTAGAGAGTAGAGAAAATTTAGGCATTTTATTTTCCGTGGAAGAATTTAGGCACGTTATTACATAGTCTCATTTAAATTTTTTTGCCTGTTAAATTTGAAAATTGATGAATTATTTTCTATGTAAATGTAACATAAAAATTATAAATATAGTATACTAAACATAACATATAATATAGTGTATTATATATAATATGGTCTATTTTGTTTTAAATAGTACTTTCAGAAATTATATTTTTACATATATAGTAAAAAAATAACAAACGTTTAATTTTTAGAAACAAAATCCTAACAATGTTGTGATTATTAAGTAAAAAAAAAATCATATAACATAAACCAACAATCAATTAAGTGTTAAAATTTAAAATATTATACTTGGTGTTGTTTGACATTAATTATAACGTTGCATTTGTGTAGTTACATATTGATAGACCTTGTGTCACGTTGGTGACATTTCTTTTATATCGGCTACGCTTTTAATGCGGAAGTTAGTTATTTAATGGGAGATTTAGTATTATTTTAAAATTCCTTAAAAGAACGTTACTTTTAAAATTTACCTTTCTTTATTATCTTGTGAATTAATACAAAAGTTTGTTATCGATAACTTACAAAAAAATAATTAAAAGTCATAAAATTTTTCGAGCTATATATTGGCTTTAGCGCCAATCACTTATTATTATTTTTCCAACATACTATATATATATAATTTAGTGCAAAAGTCAAAAGTATATCTCAGCAATCAGTTCCAAATACCTAAAAAAAAAATATTTACTTTACACAAGCATGAGACAATTTCCAAGTTATTTTAGAAAATTATGTTTTTTTTTTTTTTTTTTTTTTTTTTTTTTTTTTTTTTTTTTTTTTCTCTTTACTCCTATTCTCTTCTTTTTTGTTGGAAGTAAAAATAGAAGTCGTGTTTAGAATTGATCCCGTTTTTCTTTTTCACATTTTTTAAGAAAGAAAAAATGAACATTTTTAAAATAGTGTTTAGCGCAGTAAAGACAAAAAATGAAAATGAAAACGATTTTTTAGTTTAGTGTAAAATGAGAAAAAAATAAAAAATAACTTTTAGTCATTTTTCATTTTTTATTTTCGTTTTCTCCTCTCTCGAGCAGAGAGAGAGAGAAAGAAACATTAATGAGTTTTTTTTATTGAAAATAATCTCTTGATAAAACTACCAAACGCATTTTCAAAAATGATTTCTGTTTGAGATTGAAAACGTTTTCATTTTCATTTTCGTACAAAAAAATAAAATCATTTTAAAATGAGTTCCAAACACGCACAAAATTTCTTTTCAAATGTAATAATCCTAATCTAAGTAATACAGCCCTAATTTCGACTTTAAAGAACACCTAATTTTCAACTATTTAGCTAATTCACACTTAGATATAAAAACATTGAACATTGATAAAAAATAAAAAATAAAAAGAGGACAATTTGGGGGCAATACTGTGAAGAGGGTGCTATAATTCAAGCGAAAAGTGTAATTTCAATCTCTGTCTCGCTCTCTCCCCTTTTTTTATTCAAAATATTTGTATAAAACGACGACGTTTAACACTTAAATATCAGTAAAATTGAGTGAATTAGTACACAAATCAACCAAATATTCAATTCACCCTTCTTAGAGAGTCAGCCGAACAACCTCCGACGATTCCAAACCTCCCAATCTCGCCGGCCGACGATCGGAGATATTCAAGTTCTTACCAGATTCGATTCGACAATGAGGTTAGGCTTCTTGGTCGGCGTCTTCGGAGTCGTCATCCTCGCCCACGCCGCTATTTCGACGATCCGATGTGAGTCCCTCAATTCACTAAACACAATCGCAAATATTCGCGTTTTTCGATCGACAAGCAAAAAGTTGGAATCTTTTTCTTGTTTATAACGCTTCCTTTGCTTGAATTATGAACTGAGTTGGTTCCAAAGTCGTTGATTTGTTTCTTAATTTGCTTGTAGATCGGGGTCTGTTGAAGATTATGGAGGAAGAGTTTTATGGGCCTCCGGCGAATGTGAGTATCCATTTTTCGAGCTTTTTTTTTTTTCAATGGGTTTGATTTATTTTTATTCAATTTTTTCTGGGGTTTTTGTTTATTTTTTTATTTTTTTATTTTTTTTTTGGGGAGTACAGGTTATGGTGGAATTGCTTCTAGGGTTAGTTCTCTGTATGTGGGCGGCTCTTACAGTGCCGGGGAAATTCCTCTCAATACATCCCCATTCTGAAGAAAATAGGTATGGACTTTTTTCCCCTAAAGCTAAAATCTTTTGATTTGTTTTTTGTTTGATGAAATTTAATGTGAAGGTCAAAGATTGTATGGTAGTCACAAAGCTTGTGCCTTGTGCAAATCTATGTTAAATTGAAGCTAGATTGGTTACTTTTCATCTTAAAGTAGTGAACTTTGGGTATCTAATGTTGGTCTTTTGTTAGGGGTGAAATAAAATGGAATTTATGTTGTTTATCTTGTTTGTCAAAATATCATCTTTTCTTGTTTTTCAAACAAAAGATGCATTTGTACATAGTGAAGTTTCGCAAAAAGGAAACATGGACCTTGGAAGAGTTTCTTATTTGACACGGTACGGTCTCGGTCTCGGTCTGTACTTGAGTTGTCCATTTGACTCTTTCTAGCCAATCCAACTTCAGTTCATTGGTTTCTCATAGGCTATTATAAGCACTTATGTTTGTCAAAGTCAAAGCAAGTAGACGATTATATAGTATTGGCCTCCTACCAATTTTATTCATTGCAATCTTCTTTTTGATTATGATATTCTCTTAAAGTCTTGAATTTGCATCCTGTGGTTGAATTCTTCTCTTATTTGTCGAATCGAACTAGACCAATGCTGCTATTGTTGCACGTCAATGACCCTTGATTTTAAACCTTAAATGAGTTAGCCAAACTGGATCTGTATATATTTCTTCCTGATAGTCTGGATAATGCTTGCGGCATATCATACATTCGCCCCAGGACCACTTATGTAGAAGGTTACTCTAAAATATAGAGTGCCCTATTTCCGTGTTTGTTTTCTGCGCTGGGCGTTTAGATTTGTAGGAACCTTTTGAACTAGAATACCTTTCCGTGCTACATATTTAAAAAATATGCTTTCAATAAGGGTCTCATGCGTGAAAATTCTTAGTTGCTGTTCTTTTTGCCTTGTTTCTGACCCTCTGTACTGAGTTCATTTCAAGAAAAAATTGCTCATGTCAACTCCTCCAGTTTTTTTATAGACTGTTTAATGGAACTATTTACGTCTGGTTATGTTGATCTGCAATGCAGGATAGTTTCTCTACCAGCCAACCTTGACTTTATGATCTTCAACCATCGTGGCAAAGTGTTTCCGGTGGCAACGGATTTGAAGCTCAAACATTGAATTTTATTCAAGGAAAATCTTCTTGGGTTTAGGCCTGAAAGAAAAATGATTTCATGCAGCAAGTTATGATGCTTACCCTCTTCTTCAAGATGTTTTGGGTTAAGCTGTGTTTTTCCTTTATGCTTCCATGGATTTTGTTTCTGAACTGGTAAACTATGAGGAGGCTGCCTTCTGGAATTTTATAGAATGATAGAACAATTATACATTATTATTTTAGCTGCATTATTATGTTATTGTCACTTTTTTTTTTAAATAATAGAAATATTATTTTGTCACTTGACCAAATGAAAATGCTGCCACTGCCAGGGTGGAAAACAATCTATACAGTACATTACAAGAAGACCAGTTAAAAACAGGTTCCAAAGATATTGCAACAAGCGCAATAATGATGAAACAGATTATTCTCTGAATGGATCAATATTATCTTTTGCATGCTTACATGAATGTGCTACAAAATCTCATCTCTTTCTCATAAATCCAACAGCAAAAATACAAGATTCAATGAAAACCTGAGTTGGCAATCACTTTCACTACCTGTTTTAATGATTGCCATTTGGTTTCTATATTTGTACTTTGTGTGGTTTTGATGTCCCTCTCCAAGAGAACATGGTCAGTGCAACTAAAACTGAACAAACGCTAGCAAAAGCAATAGTTTTATTAGGGACACAACTTGTTTCACGCAAAGACCTGAAAGAGGGAACATATCCTTATCAGCAAAACTTTCATTGAAAAAAAATGGTTCGCAGGTCAAAGATGCAATAGTTGAAAAATACATTCACATACCTCTAAGAAAAAATTGTTAGAATGGGACTACAAGTAAGCAACTATAGAATTAACATAACAGTATATCCTCAACTTTTGACAACTCAGATCCCAATTCTAATATCAATTTCTAAAAGAAACAGAGTGCCCAAGTGAAAGCCAAGAATTAATCTACAATTGGTTGAGTTCCTGCGGATTTTCCATTGATTGCCTAAGAATAAACTCAGCCCTTCTCTTCTTATCATCTCTCTCTTCATCCCTCCCAAACCAAAATGCAGGCCTCCCAACAGCCTTCTTAAGGCTCAAATCCAGTGACTCGCCAAAATACTTCTTGGCCGTTCTGAACTTGAACTGAATAGCAGGCCTTGCTTCGATTCCGGGAAGAACTCTTCTCTCGTCCTCTCCATACTCCGAAAAACCACTTTTCTTCACGGCTTCAATAGCGGGCGCAAACGCCTCTAGCACCGAAGCATGGTCTCCCTTCCCCCTTTCGTCGAGGATCTTCCCCGGGAACACAATCGGAGAAACATCCTTCTCCCCCGGATGCAAAGGTGGTTCGAGGAACAGATTCCTTTCGACCTGCTTCGACTCATTCCCATCACCACCCACCAAGGGGGGAACTGCAGCCGATGTTGACGCACCCGCATAGCCAACGTTGCGGGCCAAACGCTGCTGCAAACTCAACAAAGACCTCTCAGCCTTCCTCCGCTGCCTCGCGTGCTCGAGCTTATGCAAGCGAGGTTCTGTGTTCCGCTCATTCCACATTGGGGAATGGATGTAAGTGTGAGGATCAGGTAGAGCCGGCAACCAAGTGGGTATGTGTTGACCGAGTGGGTTCTCCCCCATCTGTTCAAAACTCAGAATCAATCTCCGGTTCTTCAACACCGGAAACCTTGGCACCGGCTGTGCAAACGGAATCTCCTCGGCCGAATCCACGTACGTGGCAATCTCCTTCATCGCGCCCGATCTCACAAGACAATGCCCAACGTCCCCGGCTCCGGGAAATCCCTGCGACGCCTCCAAAACTTCCAAAGCCCTAATAATATCAAACACATTGCATTCCGTTCTTCCAGTCAAATTGGCGTAAGAATTCGCAATCTTTCCCAAATCACAAAGGTACCTGATGGCGATATTCGCGAGCGCATCCAAAGCTGACTCCTTCGAGCTCTGAAACCCGACGCTCTCGCATATCTGCGCCACCACGATCTTCGACACCGCCCTTCCGAAATCGTCTGCTCCGCCTCCGCCGTGCTCATTCACTCTCGTACCATTCGCTTCTCCATGGCCCATATTCAAACCCTCATATCACTCTTATCCTTTTCTTGGACCCGAAAATTGAATCCCATCAACTCCTCCTCGCCTCTTCTGCAATAATCCTCCACGACGGAACATAATCGTCAAGAACCGAATCTCCACTCCCGAAATTCAGCCTCCCAACAAAATCCCTAATTCAAAACACGCATTTCTCCAAGATTTTCCCACTCCCCTTTCTCGGCAGCCAAACAAGAAGTATCCACAGAACCGGAGCTCGCCGGAGAACTCGGGAAGATCCAGAAATGGCAAGACTCGAAACCGCAAAATCTCCAGAGTCAACGAACTTCACAGAATTCGAAATCGAATCAAACAGATTATCGAATTAACGGAGTCAAACCGTAGAAAACGATGAGAGAAGGAGTTTCAGGTGCTAGGGTTTTGATCAGTGACTGAAACAGAACACGAAATTGAAAAGGGAAAAACAGAGAAAATGAATCGAATTTGAAAATTCCAAAATCAAAAAGCAAAAAAAAAAAATAATAAAAAAAAAAACTGGATCTTAAACCCTGGTAAGACCCTAAAAAGGGATCAAAATAGAAGAAGAAGCAGAAGAAGAAGAAAGAGAGTGAAGAAGAGTTTCAAATTCTAGAGATTTGGGGCTCGTCTTCGGATCTATTTTATAGACCTTCGCTAAATTCCTTCCACCAATTGGAGCCCAATCACTTTCTCCACGCGCTCGATTGCGAATATTGAATCTTACTCGCGGAATCTTCGTTTCCTATTGGGCTACATTTCGTTTTGGGCCTATTTGTTATAGGCCTCGTTTAGAAAAGCCCAGCCTAGCCCAATTCAAGAATATTTCATTATCTTCTCTCTTTCCTGCGAATTCTCCTAGTTTCTTTCCAGCCAAACAGCAGGCGAGCTCGGGCTCAAGGTACTGTACTTTTCGTTTTTTCTCTCTTTTTTTTTTTTTTTTGGTTCTCTCTAGCTTTCGTTTTATTGCCTTGTTTTAATTTTCTAGCTGTTATATTTGAAAATTTTTTTTCTCTTTCTTTTTTATTTTTTTATTTTTTATTTTAAGGTAGTGAGTAGAGTAATTGGTTTGGACAATTGGGTATTTATAATTTTTTGAATTACCTATCTGTTTGTTAGATTCTCACCCATGGCCTTGACCATCAATATTATTTGTTTCAACTTTAATTAAGAAAAATTGTAAAAATTTTCCGGTTTTAGTTTTTTTTTTTTTTTTTCCCCCCTCGAAATCTATTTACCCGTCTGGAAAGATGAGGGGGGTGGGTGGGTGCTTGGTTTAGTTTGTGAATATTGTGACTTATTGTATTTCAGTTGCATTATGTGTTTCAATTTTGTTAGTTAACAAAGTTGATGAATAAGATGAAGCTCAAATTCATGTGCTTTGCAAAGATAAGGCTTTTCTCTTCCCTGTGTTTTTAAAACATTATCACCATGGAATGAAACTTAATTTTGTTCATTTTCCTCAGAAGGAAAAAACATTGTTACTTTACCTTTGGAGAAAACAAATTGTTTTTTTCCTTCATGATCTTCCAAAGTGTGAGAAATGTTGGAGCAACCAAGAATGATTAAACTTTATGAAAGTAAATAAGATATTTCCAAGTTGTTTTGGCATTGGATATGGGCTATTAAATTTGTGTATTGGGTAATTTGGGTTTCTATTTGGCTCTCAGGATAAGGAAGCTGACTAGGAGATACTCAAAGGAGCAAAATGGAGAAGTATTTTGGCAATGCATATAGGGGCGACCCCGGTGTTCCACACGCAGATCCAGATCGATTCTGGAACATATGGATCGGCTCCGCCACCTTCTCTGTTCTCACCTGGTTCAATCCCTACTTGTGGCAGCTCTCCAACCAATTCAAGTACTCATTAGTCACCCTTCTCGGTTATATTTCCCTGTCAATTTTCTTTACATTGCAAACTGTTGGAACGAGAGCAACACAATCGGAAATATGAATCTGAATAATTAAGAAAATAGAAAATAAGAACACGACAAGATTACCTAGGTTCGGCCAAAAATAATTTGACCTAATCCTGCTGAGCTCCTCCACAAGAAACTCAATCCACTATAAAGAAGAAGATTTACACCCTCAATCGGTTACACCGAAGAACCCCTCAACTGAGAAATCTGAGACACAAACCTAGAAACCAACCCAAGAGAAAACAAAGTGTTTCCCGAGAAAAATACCCAGAAGAAATCCTAATTTCTTCTATTTTCTCACACCCCAATCACTCACAGAACAAATCCTCTTTCACTCACTGTGTATTGGTTTCTCTCACCCGTGAAGCAGTTCCAACCTCTCGGATACAAAAATGTCTCTCTGTTCTTCACCAACTCAATACCCTAAAACCTAATTCTAATTTTACATATATAATCTGTTGTAGAAGAAAAAACTGGCTCTGCATCGTCTTGGACACGTGGAGCACTCTGATGAAAGGCGTTTAGACAAAATGCTGCGTTTTGTCTTCCTCTTTTTTCTATTGTCGTTTTCTTCTACTACTTCTTCTTATGAATATAAAATAATTTCTTCTAGGATTATTCCTCACAAACTCCACCTTAATCTCAGAAGTAAATCATGGCTTCTTGTGGAATCATAGCTCTATCCTTTGAAGCTACGTTTTTCCAATATTAAGCAAATCCAGACATTTCTGGAGTTTGCTTGCAGTGATTACCTTTATAGCCATATCTGAAGGATTCTCTTCAGTGTCAACCTTTTCCAGCTTGACCACTCCATCTTCTACTTTTTCCCTGATGAAGTGATGTCTCACGTCTATGTGCTTGGACTTTTCATGATATACTGGATTTTTGCATAAATGTATTGCTAACTGGCTGTTCGAATAAATTGTAGGAGTTCCTCTCAGCACCTTTAACTCGTTTAGCAAACCTTGCATCCATATAGCTTCCTTAAAACCTTCTATAAGAGCCATATATTCAGCCTCCGTGCTTGATAGAGCCACTACAGGTTGTAGTTGAGCTTTCTAGTTGATACAACTACTACTCAAAGTCATCATAAATGCTGATGTAGATCTCCTCTTATCTCTGTCACCTGCATAGTCTGAGTATACAAATCCTTCCAATACCATTTGTGCTGCTTTGTGCTTGTAAATAAAGCCATAACTGAGAGTGTTCTTGATATATCTCAACACCCACTTCATGGCAAGCCAATGATCTTACCCTGGATTTGCCATATACTTGCTCAGTATGCTTACTGCATAGGCAAGGTCAGGCCTAGTGCAGATCATAGCATACATCAAGGAGCCTACTGCACTTGAGTAAGGAACTTTAGGCATCTTCAGTTTGTCTTCCTCTATTGTGGGAGATTGTTCTGCTGACAGCTTGAAGTGACCGGCTAGAGGGACATTTACTCCTCTTGCCTGTTCCATTGAGAACTTCTTCACGACCTTCCTTAAGTACTCTTCTTGTGAAAGGCATAAGATCTTTTCTCTTCTGTTCCTCTTTATGTCAATACTGATAATTCTTCTTGCCTTACCCAAGTCTTTCATATCAAACTCTGAGCTTAACATTTTCTTCACTTTCCTGATCATTTATGGGTCCATGCTTGTAATTAGCATGTCATCTACATACAATAGGAGAAGAACTACATTGCTTGCTGCCGTATTCCTGTAAATCCAGCTTTAACTACATAGCTGTCAAATCTTCTATACCATTGCCTTGGGGATTGTTTCAATCTGTACAAGGACTTCCGTAGCAAACACACTTTTTCTTCCTTTCCTTTTACTTCAAACCCAGGTGGTTGTTGCATATAAATTGTTTCAATCAGGTCCCCATGTAAGAAAGTAGTCTTAACATCCATCTGCTCCAATTCCTAGTCCTTTTGAGCTACTAAGGCAAGGATAGTTCTTGTTGTCTTGTATTTCACAACCGGTGAGAACACCTCAGTGTAATCTATGCCCTCAACTTGTGTGAACCCTTTAGCTACTAATCTTGCCTTGTATCTCTTGGGCTTATTTGGTGCAGCTCCTTCTTTAACCTTAAAGATCCACTTGCAGGAAACAAGTTTCTGCTTCTTAGGCTTGTCCACTAAGACCCAAGTATTATTCTTCCTGAGAGAGTTCATCTCTTCCTCCATGGCAGCAATCTACTTGCTGGACTGAGGGCATGAAACTGCTTCTTAATATGTACTTGGTTCGGCTTCTGACAGGTCTTAGCAAAGGCTATGAGCTCACCATATCTTTGGGGGGGGGGGGGGGGGGGGGCGCGCGTGAGCGGGGGGGGGGGGTCGAATCTGCCTCCTTGACCTATCTCTTGAGAGAACATAGTCTGACAGAGTCTCTGATGCCGCAGGCTCTAGCTCCTGCTCCTCTCCTGGGTCTTCAACAGTCGTTTCTTGTGTCACTTGCTGTTGCTGTTCTGGTTCTTGATCAGGTTCCTGATCTGGTGGTGTTTGGTTTGATGCTATTGGTGCCTCCACCTCAAATTGGAGCTGCCGTGGGTTGTTTGCACCTGTTCCTGCATCATTAAAAGTAGCAGCAGTATCTTTGTCCTTTTTAAAATAAGGCATATTATTTTCATTAAAGATTACATCCCTGCTAATGATGATTTTAAACTTAGGACCATTTTTCAGGCATAATCTATATCCTTTGACTCCCTCATGGTATCCTAGGAAATATGCATTTAAGGGATCTATGATCTAACTTCCCTTCCCTTTGGTGTGCATACGCTGCACATCCAAAGACACTCAAATTTCCAAGATGAGGTGGTTTTTTTGTCTAAAGCTCTTGTGGAGTCTTTAATCCTATAGGCTTACATGAGTATCTATTAATTAGATAACAAGCAGTGTTGACTGCTTCACCCCAAAAAGATTTAGGTAAACCTAAACCAAATAGCATACACCTAACTCTTTCCATTAAGGTTCTATTCATCTTTTCTGCTATTCCATTTTGTTGGGGTGTTTTCTTCACAGTTCTATGCCTTAGGATGCCATTATTGTGGCAATAATCTGTGAACAACTCATGGCAGAATTCTAGACCATTATCAGTTCTAAGGGCCTTTACCTTTTTATTTAGCTGATTCTCAACTAGGTTCTTCCATTGTTTGAATTTATTAAAACATTCATCTTTAGTTTTTAATAGGTAAATCCAAACTTTTTTAGAGTGATCATCAACTATAGAAAGAAAGTACCTGGACCCTGCATGAGTAGGTGTTCTTTCTGGCCTCCATAGATCCACATGTAGATAATCCAGTGGTCCCTTTGCTCTGTATGTTGATATAGTGAATTTCAGCCTGTGTTGCTTCCCTAAAATGCACTGCTCACAGAAGTCCAAATGGTTGATTTTGTCGTCTCCAAGTAGTCCCTGCTTGCTGAGTTCCTGGAGACCTCTCTCACTCACATGCCCTAGCCTTTTATGCCAGATTTCAGTCCTAGACTTCTCATTGATTATTGCTACTGCTGTACCAGTGACTGTTTGACCCTTTAGGACATAAAGGCTTGCTTTCTTTTCACCTTTCATTACCCACTAACGACCCTTTTAAGATCTTCATTGCTCCACCTTCAGCCTTATAACCATATCCTGCATCATCTAAAGCTCCCAGGGAGACCAAGTTCTTTCTAAGTTCAGGAACATGCCTAACATTCTTGAGAGTGTGATAAGCCCCATCATTCATCTTGATAGTGATGTTTCCAGATCCAATCACTGTGCAAGCATGATTGTTTCCCATCAAGACTTTACCTCCATCTCTCCTCTCATAATTTGTGAACCAGGATTTATTTGGGCACATATGATATGTGCACTCAGAGTCCATAATCCATTCTGACTCTTCTTCAAAGGTCCCAACAACAAGCATCTCAGGACTCTCATAGCCATTGTCTTGAATGACGATTGCAGCATCCCCTTCCGTAGGCTTCTGTTCAGCCAAATGCCTCTTCCATTCCTTGCAGAATCTTTTTATGTGCCCTGATTTTTTATAGAAGAAACACTTTCTTGATCCATTCCTTGACTTTGACCTTGGGGGTGGCCTATTCTTGTTCTTCCCACCAAATTCTTTCTTAGGTGGTCTACCTCTAGTGAACAACCCTTCATCTCCATTTGTGTCCTTTCTTTGAGTCATTTCATTCTTGAGTTCTAGTTCTCTAGACCTTAAGGCATACAGTACATCTTCAAGAGTAAGGCTATCTCGCCCATATTTGATAGCATTTTTAACCTCCCTAAAGGACTCAGGTAAGGAAATCAAGAGGATGTCTGCTTAATTTTCCTCTTCAAATTTTTCACCAATATTAGGCAAGTCAATAACAATCTTATTAAACGCATCAAGGTTCTTTTCTAGGCTCCTAGAGGTGTCCATTCTAAAACTGAACAAACTTTCTTTGAGGTAAATCTTATTAGTCAGAGACTTTGTCATATAAAGTTGTTCAAGTTTAAGCCAAACCTTTGCTGCAGTGTCTTCATCGTTGACTTGCCTCAACACGTTGTCTGCAAGGTACAAAATGATGGTAGAGTGAGCTATTTCTAGCATCTCTTCCTTCTCTTCCTCAGTGCCCTTGAAATCTTTCATGTCTCCTAGGGCTTTTGCCACTTTCTGCTGCACCAAGATCGCCCAAAGCTTCTTTTGCCATAGACCAAAATCGCCAGATCCATCAAATTTCTCGAGCTCAAACTTAGCAGTTCCCATTCTTCAAGATTTCTTAAAGATTCCTTGAATTTTCCGAATTTCCCTCAAAACAAAAAATAGACCCTCTAGGCCTTCACCGATCGGTAGTTAACCTAGCTCTGATACCACTATTGGAACGAGACCAACACAATCGGAAATATGAATCTGAATAATCAAGAAAACAGAAAATAAGAACACGACAAGATTGCCTAGGTTCGGCCAAAAATAATTTGACCTAATCCTGCTGAGCTCCTGCACAAGAAACTCAATCCACTATAAAGAAGAAGATTTACACCCTCAATCGGTTACACCGAAGAACCCCTCAACTGAGAAATCTAAGACACAAACCCAGAACCAACCCAAGAGAAAACAAAGTGTTTCCCGAGAAAAATACCCAGAAGAAATCCTAATTTCTTCTATTTTCTCACACCCCAATCACTCACAGAACAAATCCTCTTTCACTCACTGTGTACTGGTTTCTCTCACTCGTGAAGCAGTTCCAACCTCTCGGATACAAAAATGTCTCTTTGTTCTTCACCGACTCAATACCCTAAAACCTAATTCTTATTTTACATATATAATCTGTTGTAGAAGAAAAAAAAAATTGGCTCTGCATCGTCTTGGACACGAGGAGCACTCTGATGAAAGGCGTTTAGACAAACGCTGCGTCTTGTCTTCCTCTTCTTTCTGTTGTCGTTTTCTTCTACTACTTCTTCTTATGAATATAAAATGATTTCTTCTGGGATTATTCCTCACACAAACTATTTTCTATTCTGCTCGTTTTTATTCAGGATGTTTCTTCACTAAGCTGTGACATTTTCTCACTAACAATTACATTGCAAATTTCCTTGTTGCTGAATGCGTTTGTCGTGTGCTTTTTCCTGGACGCATAAAATCGGTTCTTTATTTAGTCCTTTAGTTAGTTACGTTATAACAGATGCTATAGCTGAATCGTTTCGGTACAAATTACTAGTCGTGATGTGCTTAGGCAGTAACTTTATAGAGTTAACAGTGGTGTGGCTGTCTCGCCCCTTCTCCCTTCGTATTACCATTTCTACGCATTCTATGCCTTTGCACATTAATGATGCGTGATGAGATTTCCTTTATTTTAGTGAGCATTTTGATTTTGATTTTCTATTTCTTCATATCATATGGAGAATTGATGATTAGTTTCCAATTTCGGTGTGTTTACATACTCCTTAGCTTGGATTAGTTTTTTGAATCTGCAATCTGTCTCACAATCTAAAATCCTTGCAGCTGGCATGACAAAGCCATGTTATTTGAACAGTATCACTGGAAGAAGGCAATGAAAAAAGGGCAGCCATATAAGTTTAAGGTATGCCAATTGGCATTGTAAAAAGTGAAGTTTCATAAAATCGAGCTAGTTTGGTGACCGTATAATCTTTTTTTTTTCTTTTTTACTTTGCTAAACGAAATTGTCCAATCAACTAATCTTGTTTGGTTTAGTCTAATGGTTTTGCTCATGATCTGCCCATTTGCAGTGGAACGAGTACATGGATAAGGACCTCCGAGAGTCTTATTATCACAACTGGCCGGTTTATTTCCCGTAGCCTTTTCGTCTACATGGGCATTTACTCTAGTTTTTGTCAATGCAATATGAATTATGGGACCAAGGAGACTCTTATTTGTATCCTCTGTTTTTGTCATTTTCAGACTTTGAGATCATGAAATTATGTTTATGTTTCCCTTCATACTTGATACTCCCGCTGGTTTTCAATCTTCGACTTGAATGCGTTTTAACTCTTCGTAGCAGGGAGCAGTATGATGCTATTGAGTTTTATGCCCAAAATTGTATGCAATGAATGATAGATTCGCGCTCATATGGAGTGATAGGAAAACGACATCACACGTGGAAACGACATTTTATCCGGAAAACAACTGTATGTTGACGTATGATATTATACATATACTAAAAGAAAGGACGGGATTTACTGTTCATATTACAGTGTTATGAACAGTGTCTTTTCCGTTTTATCCTTACTTATTTCTTCAGTTAAATTTTTATTTCTGCTATGTCCTTTTAAAAGTTACTATAGTATCCTTATTTCATTTATTCTATATCCAAGAAACAACAATATTTTATTTGAGAACGACAGGATATTTATTCTGTATTAGAAACGACGTATTTTTTTATTTATAAACGACATTATTTGAACAAAACGACAAACTTTTGATGAGTAGAGGCGCCACAATCCCTCCGCTCTTGAATGAAAAATAAACAAAACAAATATGTTGCACGATATCTTTTATAGAAGGAAATCACAATTTATCTAAACGAAATCCAAAGTACGACAAAAACATAAGATACATAATGAGCATTTAGAACCGCAAAAGTTCAACAAACTGCAACAATGTTAGAAAAGACAACAAAATCTTGGAAACGACGCAACAAAATGAAAGCCATAAAATTGAAAATGACATGAATGCGATAACGACATAAAGAAAAGAAATAAATAAAACGAACGACAAAACATAGATGACGATGAGAAGCTTATAAACGACCTTAACTGATAAACGGACAGATAAAACAAACGGCGTGAACATTCAAAGAAGACAAGAATGTGAGAAACGACTACATAAAATAATTGAACGACAGAAAAACAACATTCCTTCAAATGATACCAAAAGAACAATTGACAGCACAAAACAAGCGAAAAAATGGCATAAAGAAGATTGAAAACAACAAAGTACAAATTCAAATGACAAAACATAGAAAGTGACAAAAGAAATACGAACGACAGAATATAGAAGACAACGGCAATCTATGTGCCGCACTTGATGGGTGAAGTGAAATCCTAAAAGCGACAAGGTGTGGAAAACCGTATCATCTTCTAAAATGACAATTGCTCAAGAAAAGAATAGGATTAATTTTAAACATTCTCCCCGAATTATGACCCTTTTAATATTTTATCCTTCGAATTTTAAAAAGTAACATATATTTTCCTCAAATTTTGTTATATTAACAAGATCTTTCTATTATAATGAGTGACAAAAATTGACACGTGTCACTTATTTAACGTTTTCTCTCTCTTTCTTCTTCTTCTTCTCACTCTCTCAAAAAAAAAAAAAAAAATTGCTCTCCAAAATGTTCGAACAAAAGAAAGAGAAGACCATGGAGGAGCTGGTTCACAAGCTTTTGCAATTCCAACTCTCCGGTGCTATGGGACCCACAAATCGCAGAGAAGAGATCAACCTCAACAAAATAATCATAGAAGCATAGACTCCTGAACAAGTGTTGGAGCTCGTTTCCCACACTATGATGGCCGTTGGGAAAGGCTTGAGCCCCTCCACCGCTTACTCCCTTGAACATTGCCACTGCCCTTCATTGGATTGCTAAAAACATGGACAAATAGGATTGCTTGGTCTTATGTTGTTTTCAGAGAATTGGACCGGAGTTTCTTTTCCTTTGTGTGGAAGACTCTAACAACCCAGTTTGAGGAGCAAAGGATCTCAGAGCAGCATAGAAAGGATATAATGTTTGCTTCTCAAATTCAACTCGCAAACGAATGCTTGAAGCTTGAATACCCACATCTTCAGTTGTCTTTGGGGAGGGATCTTGAGGAGAAAATCGTCTGTTCCGGGAAAACTAAGGGGACGTTTAGAAGGAGGATTCGTGTCATGATTCGAATTATGATTTGTGGTTTGGTACAGTATTTTCTCACAAAAAACACACGTAAAACGAGAATGATTCTGAATCATAATTCTAAATTCATGAACTAAACGTCCCCTAAGAGGTTTAATTAGAAAATTATTTAATCTTTTAATTCTCACTAAATAAGTGACATGTGGCGATTTCTGTCATTTATTATAATAGAAGAATAAAACTTGTTAATGAAATAAAGTTTAGGGAGAAACATATGTTATTTTTTAAAATTCAGAGGGTAAAGTATTAAAATGGTCATAGTTTGGAGGAAATTTTTAAAATTAATCTAAAAGGATATGATAAAATAACGATAATAATCTGAAAACGACAACAAACAGAATAACGAAACAAGAAAAGTAACATAGAGGTATCTATAAAACAATATCAATCATTAAAACAACAAACCGCACTAGGAAAAGAAAACCCGAATAAACCTCGATAAACAACATCCACTTCAAAATAAGAAACTAAAAAAAAAAAAAAAAAAAAGGGGGGGGGGGGGGGGGGGGGGGGGGGGGGGGATGAGCTTCACAAGCGACATTACCTAAATAAAACGACATAAACGGGGAAAACGACAAAAAATAACCTCCATAAACAACATCAAGTCCACTGGAACGAGGTTCACAAACGACATGTACCTTGAGAAAACAGCATTAAAACCTGAAAAAGACAAAAAACATTAGGAAGCGTTTGGAGATTTTGTTTTCTGTATGAAAAGAAAAATAAAAACATTTTCAATCTCAAATAAAAATTATTTTTAAAAATACGTTAAATAATTTTATCAAAAGATTATTTTCAATGTAAAAAAACTCATTAATGTCTCTTTTTTTCTCTCTATTCAAGAGAAAAAAAATGAAAACAAAATTTTCTCTTATTTTATACTAAATTAAAAAATTATTTTTATTTTTATATTTTATTTTTATTATACAAAAAATCATTTTAAAAATTTTTTAATTTTATTTTTAAAAACGTAAAAAATAAAAATAAAATCAATTCCAAACAGATCTTGACGTCGCAAATACAAAATAAATAAATAAATAAATACTTCCAATTCACAAGGGAAACCAAGACCAGAACAGAATGAGTTATCTACACTTGGGTTGTTCATCACTAACCTTTCCAACAACCTTACGTTCTGCGATTCTGAAGCAACCACTGAATACTACTAAGTTTCCTCTCTGTTCAACCGAAAGACAAACAAAATCAACAAAATCCTTCTTTGCAGATTTCAGATCGAAATCCTTGAAATGGGCATTCTCAGGGGCTCTCGCGCTCGGCATTTCTCTTGCGGTTCTTCCAGGCAAGTAACTTCAATATCATTCTTGATTTCTGCTTCTGAAGTGAAAACTGAAAAACCCATATTGAGAAATATTATTATCGTTTTGGAGTAGGATGTGTGGAGGCAAAAGTGGGTGTGAACAAGCCGGAATTGCTTCCTAAGGAGTTTACTACTGTCATTGACGTTGCCGGGTTCCTCTCTGATGGCCAGGTAAATTTTCATTTCTAAATGTTGTTCGTTGCTTTAATATATATATATATATATATTTGGGAGACTTTTTTTTTTCTTTTTCATTGCCTTATTTTCAGTTTCAAGGTGTTAGATGGAAAACCCATTTGTTTTTTTTCCCCAAAAAAAGAAAAAGAAAAAGAAAAAGAAAAAGAAAAAGAAAAAGAGGGTAAGAATAAGTGCATAGGTTTGTTGGGTAGAGATAATTTTCAAGCATAATCATGGCAGTTACGAGTTAACCATTTTTGTTTCAATTTTTTGGCATCTGTTTTATGAAATCACGTACTCGTGTTAGAAAGTTGAAGTTTTTGGTTTAATTTACAGTAAGACTTGTAGTGATTGATTGCATTTAAGTTGTACTAGTCGTTTCAGTTTCTGTTTGTTGATGAATTTGGTGAAGAAGAAAGTATGGTTTTTCAAAAGTGTGCTCTTTTCAAAGATAAACACGAGAGGCCTTTTCTTTTCCCCATTTGGTTTCTTCTTAATTGGAATGTGCGTGGGAGAGACTTGTGAAGCTGAAATATTAGGCTTTGTTATTCTTTCTTCCCACCTTCTTGGGAGATCTTTTTCCTAATTATGGACAATATTTCTCTAGAACTTGGGAGAAAAAAGGACAAAAATGGTGTCTTTTTAATGAACATATTTGGTGCATTATCAGGAGAAAAGACTTACCCAAGAGATAGCTGATATTGAAAAGGATACTGGATTCAAGTTGAGAGTTTTGTCCCAGAATTACCCTGATACTCCAGGTGAGGACCAACTTATTGCTAGACTAGCATTGTGCTTTATTCTGTGATAGGATAGGAAAAAATTAGTCTACCGGCAGGACACAATTCTGATGCGTTCGATCACATAATAATTATATTACTCATTAAGAAAGTACAACTATTTAAAGGAACTTGATCAAATCTGAGGTTAAAAATGGTGTCCCACCTGTACCTTACCACAATATTTTCTGCCTTTATATGGTTATTTTGAATTCTGCAAATGACTCTTATGGAAGTAGGAAACAATAAAAAATCTTTCTTTGCAGGATTGGCTATAAGGGACTTTTGGCAAGTGGATGATAGAACTATAGTCTTTGTTGCTGACCCCACATTTGGTAAGGGCCTTATTTTTATTACTATCATTCTTTAATAATATATCACTAGATAACTCTGCTATGGATGATTTACATGATAAGGGTCTCTTTAAACAGGAAATATACTGAATTTCAATGTTGGAGCTACAGTCGATCTAGACATTCCGCGTAGTTTTTGGAGTCGTTTGGCTGGCAAGTACGGAAATATCTTTTATTGGAAAGAGAAGGTAAGAATCTCTTTTAGTTCTGTTGACTGGTTATATAGTTGGTCATGTTTGTTTAAAATGTTGTCATAATGTGTATTGTGTTTATAGATTATTAATCTTAGATGTGATAAAATAGGGTGAAGATGCATCAATTGAAGCTGCAGTCATGGCAATATCTAGTTGCTTGAGAGAACCTGTGGGCCCAAGTAATTGCTCTGAGGTAAAGTGACACCAAGACAACAATGGATGGCAAGCGAGAAATCCTTACATTTTCCTACCTGACATATATTTTCATGAAGATGGGCATGTGTGTATATATATATATATATGTATATTATTTTCCGAAATCTTGAGGAACATTGCTTGTATATTACCATTCTTCTGAGTCTGACTCGAGTCAGATACATCTGATGTAAATACAGACGTGAAATGTGTTTGTCTATTGACGGTTGTTTTGTTGAGAGAAGACTTTTCATTTTCAGGGATACGAGAGTGGAAAATTATTTTAAAAATGGGGTTTAATGGGTTTTGGTTGAACTTGAAAATTCACTCACTGAAATTGAATAAGTACACAATTGAATTAAATTTACTTGGATGTTTGTTACCAATGAAATTGACTTCTAATGCCCATTTCTTAATTGAATTAACCTTAGTATCCTGTATGACAAAGGTACTTTATTGTTTAGATAATACTAGAATTGTATCCTAAATTTAATATTGTGTGGTCCCGAGAAAATCCGAGGTCCTTTTTTGGGGCATAAAATTTGACAAATGTGCTTATTTTTTTGGTACTTTTATCGCTTTTTTATTAATTCCTCCACATTAAATTCTTAAAAAAATTAAGAAAATCTCAAACATTGTTGTCAAATAAGGATCTAGTGTGGGATATCAATTACTAATAATTAATAATCCGGCAGTGACTCTAAATAGAACTGTTAAAAAAAAAAATCCTGCAGTGACTCTGGAAGCATCCGGCAGTTATTTAATTAGAACGAATAACTCGGAGGAAGTCGCAGGATTCTATACAAGATTTGGGAATAACAAATTGAAAATCGTTGCTCTTATTGAAACATGGAAATTATAATCTCTTAATGCAATGGCTTTGGAATATCATTGTGTTAATGAATAAGTCGTAGCCATGAGGCTTTGGATGGCTTCTGTCCATTGCTGAAATTACAATATCTTAATTTGTAGAAGCAAGATTCACAAGTTCTAACTGGAAATATCAATTGATAAATATGATTGGTGTGTGTGTATATATATACATATATATATATATATATATATATGAGTTTAATTTGGTCTAGGAGAAACCGGCCATAAGCAATTATTGACGTCTGGCCAACCCATTTGACAGTTCTACTTCAAGATGCTATTATTGACGCGTAATGACAATCTAAGTAATGATACAATTACTTATACACATTCATGAAAAAAAAAAAAAAAAAAACGGGAACTATCTCAAAAATGTGGATTTAAATATTATGCAAAATATAATTATATTTAAGTGGATTTATGTAAAACGAAAGATAAAATTGATGAGCTAAAATTCAATTAGTAGGTTAAAAATACAAATGCAAACTAAGCATACTTATAATTAAATTACTTACTTCAATATGTCTTAATTAAACGAAAGCGGCACTAGCTAGGTCGATCCGAGAAAACACAATCAAGTAGTACTACAAAAACATACATGTTATATTCGTTCACTAATTTTTGCCTTCACATCGGTAATAAACTGACACAAATTTTTCTCTGATGACCCATTCATGGCCAAGGCATTCTCTAAAATCTCCCTCACCTTAATCATCTCTTTCCTCAATTCTTCAGCCGATTTTCCACTCATCAAACGACCAATCTTCTCTGCTACTTCCACTCTTGTCAATGGCTTCCTATCACAAAGGTTTAGCCTAATCCTCCAATCATCAACCACTAATTTCCTATTGGTCGGCTGATCCGTAAACAGAGGAAAACATAGCAAAGGCACACCGCACCATATACTTTCCAAAATTGAATTCCATCCCCAATGTGTTAAGAACCCTCCTATTGAAGGATGTGAGATAACCTCAATCTGACCGGTCCACGTCACTATCAAACCCCTACCTTTGACCTCATCAAGAAATCCAATGGGTAAATCATAGTCTTGATCATAGCTCGCAATGTTGGGACGCACAACCCAAATGAAGTTCACTTCACTAAGTAATAATCCCATAGCTATTTCTTCAATGTCCTTTTTTGCTACAAAGAGCATAACTACCAAATGAGATGTACAAGACCGAGCCATGAGGCTTGGAATTGAGCCATTGGGTGCAGTCAAACTCGGTCCTTAGGCTTGTGGGCACAATGCTCTTGGTGAACCCACATGGGAAAATAGGGCCAATTGCATATAGGGGTTGTTTCTCTTGTAAGGCTAAAATGGTCTCAAGCTCAAGTTCTTGAACTGTGTTACAAATAATAAAGTCAACGTTTTTGACATCCTCAAATGACTTGTATAAGAGCTTATGCATCCCCGTTGATGTGTCAGTTTCTTGAAGGGGACGATATCAAGTCTTTTGGCTCAATTGCGTTGACACCCGGTATGTAATCAATGGTATCTCGACGATTATCTAGTAAGAACCACAAAAAGCCACGTAATTTTCTTCATAAATATGGCAATTTTTACGGTAGGAAGTGCTATATACACTAAATAGCATTGCATATACTAAATTTAGTACATATAATAGCATTGCATTAGACAGTGATTTTTCTACATATAAGTACATACTAAACTAATTTAATATTGGCTTGCTAGTTTAGTATTGTCTTGGATATGCTCTAATAATTTGGGTCCGTTTAGTTCGTTGATTTGAGTTTTTAATTCGAGTTGAGATGTGATTTTATGTGAGAGCTTTTACTGTAGTAAAAAAGTTAGATGTGACTGTTTCTGAGAGCTTTTTACTGTAGCAAAACTCGAATTCTAAACTCGAAGCAGTGAAATGAACGGGGCTAGGTTGTATTTCTTGGCAATCTGAGACGTCCATGTGTAGAACGTATCTACAATCAAACAAGAGACAGAAGTAACATCTCTTAATATATCTCCAACAAGTTCATCCATGTAGTTTGGAAGGTTATTCAAGTAACCCTCATGGAACTTCTCGAGATTCGCGGGCCTGTTGAATTCAATTGGGAAACCGTTGCACACCGTTCTGTAGCGGATGTCAAGGCCGGAGTTTCGTGCTCCGGCAAAGATGTCGTTTTGGTGATCATCTGATCCGACTTCATGTCGTTTTGACTTGGTGATCTCGTGGTGTATCACTTCAGTGTTGACGAAGGTGATGGTGAGGCCTTTTGATGCGAGCTTGATGGCCAAATGAACGGCTGGGATCACGTGGCCTTGGAGACCGAAAGCTATTATGATGGCATGTGGTTTTGGAGGTGTAGGAATGTCTTCGATCTCCATGGAAGCTATCGGAATTAATGTAGAGAAGAAATGGTGACTGGCAATGGGCAATATGGAGATTACCTTATAACAAAAAAAAAAAAAAAGAACAACACTTTACACCATTTGTATTTTTTCTAAATTACAGAAGGGTCAGATGCCAACTCAAGATCTACTAATTCCTTCATATACGGTTTTTTAATGAAATTTATTTTCACTAAACTACCCATTAATGAAAAGAAAAATTACAAGAATAACCATTATTTTTTATCATCTTATTATTTATGTCGTAAAAAATTATTATGACAGAATAGATATATTCTAGTAGAACACGAATAGTATCATGCTAGAAAAAAATATGCTGATAGAGTATCCTATCAGAATATAAATGAAATAAATTATAAATATAAATAAAATATTAAAAATACTTAAACAATTCACGAGACATTAAAATTTAATTAGAGTGATAGTTACCGAGATAGAAAAATAAGACAACAGATCTTATTTAAAGATATAATACCTTACATGTATCACTTTTTTTTTTTTTTTTTGGCGCGCATATATATAAAGATGGGAATCTTCTTGCCAAATCCTCCATTAATGTCGTGTGGTTTTGGAGGAGTAGGAATGTCTTCGATCTCCATGGAAGCTATCGGAATTAATTATGAGAAGAAATGGTGATTGGCAATGGGAAATATGGAGATTAAATTATAACAAAAACAAGGAGAACGACACTTTACACACCATTTTGTATTTTTCCTAAATAGAAGGGTCAGATGCCAACTTAAGATCTACTAATTTCTTCATTTATGGGTTTTTAATAAAATTCATTGCACTAAGCTAACCATTAATAAAAGAGAAAATTACAAGAATAACCATTATTTTTTATCATCTTATTATTTATGCCATAATAATTATTATGGTAGAATATGAAACGTATTCTAGTAAAATACAAAAAATATCATGCCAGAAAAAATTGTAGTAGAACATGTAAGCTATATATCCTAACATAATATAAATGACATAAATGATAAATAAAAACAAAAAGAATAAAACTATTTAAGTAATTCACGAAGTGTTAAAATTTAATTAAAACCAAAGTTACTAAGACAAATAAATGAGACAACAAAACTTAATTTGAATATATAATACCTCACATGCATCATTTTCTTTTTTCCACACTTTTATATGAAGATGGTCATCTTCTTACCAAAACCTCCATTGATGTGGCACACCTTTCCCCAGAGTTGTCATTGGAAACATCGATTCTGCGAGTGAGAGGTCGACGAGTTGATTTTTTTCCCCTTCATTTTGAGCATCCGTGTTTATTTTTTAGGGGTTAAAATTCTAATACTCACATATAATGGATCTTGTTAGGTGGAACTAAATTTAATAGGACTCACTATTTTGTGAGTGGAGTTTTATTCTGGTGGAGATAAATATTATTTTTTTAAAGCTTTTTTGATAGGATCAGAAAAAATGAATAATTGATAATTCTCTATTTTTAGCTGTCAAATCTGTATAAAAAACTATATATTCTACATATTTTTTTTAATATAATTTAATTTTAATATGATCTAACGGTTAAAAACTGACACTTAAAAAATAACGTACTCAGTTTCCTTTGATGGTTTATGTGTGTTTGGGGCCAAACATTTAAAGCAGGCAGATGTGGAAGTGTTTGCTGTAGTGGCTTAGAGTATTTGGTGGTCTCATTATTGAAGATGTAGGTCCCATTCTTTCGAGGATGCGTGTCCCATTATTGAAGATATCAAGACTTTAATGAGACAAGCTCATCATGATGGTATGAGTTGCAGCCATATTCCTCGTAGTGGGAATACTGTTGCCCACCTGTTAGCAAATTCTGTTTTTCATAATTATGTTCAGATTGTTGGTGTTGATTTTATTCCCCATTTTGTGGGTGTTGCTTGCGTAGCCGAATTGGCTGTTTAATAAAATTATCTACTTTTCCTTAAAATGTCTAATTTCTAAATACGTATTGGGCGTTTTGAAAAAAATACGTTTTGGGGGCATTAGCGTAATTCACATTGGGAAAGCCTTGCTTTTCACTATCAACGCTGAATCTCAAAACATCTTATTCTTCTTAGCAAAAACATCTTGTTATTCTTTTTTTATTTTATTTATAATTAGTCAGAAATTCTATTTAATAACGCAAGGTAATTAGCCACACGGTCACTGTCTTTGACATTTTGCTTGTAAGATATAATAATGCTTCGTCATTATTATAACCCGGTTTAGTTGGTTATTTGCTTTATTTTTTATGCCAAAATGGCGTGGTGCATATTATAGTGTGTTTGTGGCGCATACCACGTGTAAGGGCTTTAGGTCACTAACAAGTGACCACTAATAAAAATTTGAAATTTAACGACTATTAATAACCGTCGTTAAGCGATTAGACAATGGTTAGAAGAACCGTAATCTAATCGCAAATCGTTAAATGTTTATAAGATATAACAATGGTTTGTATCTGTCCTTAAATAAAACATTAGACGATGGTTTATAACCAAATCTGTGATTTAAGATACTCCCAAAATGTTAAATTGGGCGGTTATGGAGCACATTAGATGACGGTTTATATATGTCACGCCCCGGAACAGGGGTCGGTGACATGAAGCTCGATTAGGAGTTAAGCGCATGATAATAAAAGAAATTCTCAACGAGCCCCACACTTAATTAAAATAAATCACAAGGGAGAGACTAAAACTCAAGCCTCTCACAGTGTACTAAACACATGACCTATCCACAGGATCTCATTAGAGTACATACATGGCATGTAAATAAAGCATTACAGACATCAACCACCATCTAGAAATCTAAATATCAGAGTTTACAAATTCTTACATATATCCAAGAGGATGAACACAATCCTCACTTGATCGAACGGTAGCCAATAATCCAGCTACTCCACACCACTCCTAGAATCGCCTGGGAGGGGTTAACATTTATAAAACAGATAAAACGTGAGCGAAAGGCTCAGTAGGATATAATTTGAAATAAATTTATAAATAAATGAATAAATAAATAAGCGAGTAAATAAATAAATGAATAAGTAAATAAAATAAGACATTTAGTTCCAACACAACAGCCGGAACCTCACATCCTTTTTCTCAAAGGAAACATATCTGAAAATATTCATATTACAAGCATCGACAAGTAATTTATACTAGGATAAATTACTTACACAACCACGTGCACAAGCCATACCCCCGGGGTTTCGGGTCCTGTCCCCAAGGATGCACTTTCCACATCCTATCTTGGCCATCAGTCAGTTTACCGATTCGCAAGATCTCTGACTTATCTTAAGAAATCATTCATTAAACTTTATGAAATCGTTCGTTATAATCTCATGAACTACACAAGTCATAAGTCCCATGAACTACAACAAGCCATGGTCCCATGTACTACAACAAGCCATGGGTACCATGAACTACACAAGCCATGGGTTTTAAATACATTTCTTTTGCAAACAAGCCCCTTTCTTTAAAACATTTACAAGACCAAAATCCTTTTGAAAACAGGCTCACAAAGATTGGGTAAGAAATCCTACCTCGTAAATATCAAACCTGTGGCTAGCGGTGCACTATTCTAACTTCTGCTTCCTCAGGCTACTCAATCCGAGTCCTCAGCTAGCACTGATACAAGACAATGCTTTAGGATTTAATTCTCATTCCTAAAGCAATTATGTCTCAATTATATCCTTTGATTTCCTATTAGTGTGCCATAATTTAATTACCGGTTTCACAAACCATTTCATGTTTTAAATCATCATTCCAAGGGTTTTCAATCTCAAAACATGGATTAAAGATGCTAATCCATCTACCCTATGTCCCCAAATGAAGCTAATTTGGGTCCTTCTAAAAAACAGAGGTCAAAACAGCATTTTCAGGCCAAACGGGGTCAAACCCCGTGTACACCGGTTGACCGGTGACAGAGCAGTACAACACCACCGGTCGACCGGTGGTATACAATCCGGTCAACTGGACATGTGGACCGGTCAGGCCAATGCAATCCGGTCGACCGCACAGGTCGACCGGTGAAGAACACCAGTGTGAGAAAACTCACAAAATCAGTTCAAAAACCTGTAAATCCAGTCCCAAATCAAAGTATCTCAAGGGACAACACCTGAATCTGGGTTCTAGGTACTAAATCAAATCTAAAGAACCTGAGATCCCCAATTTCTACCATAGTTTTACTCAAAATCCATCAAAAACCATTTCGAACCAAAAATAAGTTTTTAAATCTGAAAATCCGAGATTCAAGAGAGGTTTTCAGAGATCTTACCTTAAATCCTTCTATTGACATTGAAAACTCTTTGAAATTCCTCTTTGGTTCGAGATCCGGTTGATTTTGAACCTCAATTTTCTCGGTTCGATTCTCCGAACCCATTTTTTGGCTGTTTTTCATTCCGATTGTTTTTAAAACCCTAGAATTGATATTTTTCAATTCTTTTCCATTTCTTAACCTTAATATTCATGTGTTTACCCACTTATGGGTTTAACACAGTGTTCCGTACCTCATTCTTAAATACAGTCCGAAAATCGGTAACTGCATCATTTCACAAAAATTTCTGAACTTTAGCTTATAACTTGCTATTCCATATTATATCAACAAATGCTTATCATAAAAATATTCATATTGATAATACAAAGGATTTCAAGAAGCAGGGCTACTCATGGATGCGATTTTCTAAAGCAAACTCTGGAAATCATTGACTTCTCCTGGATTAGTTGATCTTGCAATTTCGCTAGCCATAACTTGGCAAAGTGGAGCAGGGCTACTCATGTTTTTGTTTCATACCTCAAGAAGCTGTTGCTGTAAATGTTATAAGGGACAATGAGAAGTGGTTCCTCTGTCAGGGCCTCAGTCTCTCCTTGGCCTAGTCTTAGGTTTTGTTTTGGTCTTTTCCCGTTTCTCTTTTTGGTTTTTTGTTCTTGGTTTGTCTTCGTTCGGTGCCCTTTGTTTTCGGTGCCCCCTGGTTTTGTCTTTGTTTGGTGCCTTTGTCCCCTGTCCCTATTTTGTGGGTGTTCTTTTGAATGAAATATTCATTTAGCAAAAAAAAAAAAAAAAGCTAATTTTGTGTCACTTGTTAATTTTACTCCCCGAACTCTTATTTGTTATGAAAACGGATGTTATGAGATTGTAACTGTGATGCCTGTGAGGGAGCATAACATCCACTGTCAGCATAAGAATAGATATCAATTGATTGGGAATTGGGAATTTGAACTTGATCAATCCTGGTGAAATTGGACACACTAGAGTTGTTTTATTATTAAATTTCTCCTTATTTAATATTCGCGTTTTGTTTTCTTTAGTTTCTTCAATTCTAGTTTAAATCACCAAATCTCCTGTTTCGTTTTATTCAAATAAAATTTAGCGTTAACTCAATTTCGGTAATTATTAACGATCAATCATCGTGGAACGATACTTGAGAGATTTTTATTATTTGACAACGATAGCGTATGCTTACACTCATAAAATTGGTAACAAGTTGAAAACGCAACACAAGGTTAAATTGGCAAAGAAATTCATCAGTAACATAGACCAACGACAGTTTAATCGACGGAATCAAGATCAACAACATCCAGGACATTACAAGGAATTGTTTTAGTGAGGGGGTGATTAATCCGGAGTGTTATAATGATGATTCCCTAGCCACGTTGTTGTTCTTTGGATGGCTCTGCAGTTGTGATCTTGGTGAGCTAGAAATGTTTAAGACCAATAGCACTCAAGCAACCTTTATCCACAAGATTTGTTTTTGTTTGAAGACCGAGTCCCCTTTAAAGTCCTTGCACTGTGTTGATGGCTGAATGTGGCCGACAAGGAAACGTAAAAGTTGTCCTACTTTAAGACCGGCATTATCCCAATTTGTCCATGAGAATGAAACTAGTAAATAATGACAAAACAATACAGCCGTCAAATTCTTCAAAGTAATTAGCTGTACACATTCTGTTGCAGATTATGCTGCAACAAATACTGCAACAAAGCTGTAAAACTTGATCCGAAAGTCGACTTTCTTGATTCTTGAAATCTTTCTATATAAGATAGAAAAAACATGGATGATCCGAACAGTTCAGAATGATCTCCTTTATAAATCTACTATTTCATTTACTTTTAACTTACCAAAAATACTCAAAAGTTGATTTTAATCAAAACAAATCAATTTAATTGATTCTAAACAATTTCCAAATAAACCGAACTTTCCCAAGATGATGTTAACAGCTGCCATTCAATCTTCAATTAGATCAATCAACCAAAACATGCCAAAATAATGTTAACAATCAAAACCAATCAAATCCGAAATTAAATCCCAACAGAAGATAATTATAATGGAAGTAAAATATGGCAAACAGCTTGTTTTACGTCACGATATTATTTTTGTACTTTCATGGCATTACGTCATAATATAGAATCACAAACACACACACACAAATGAGTGGTGGCCGAAAGACTTTATTTTAGGGTGGACCTGAATGAGAGCAAGACAAGTCTCATGGCAATAATTAATAAAGGGCACTGTGACATTTTATTTGCTCCTTCTACCTAACATTAATAGAATCATGTGATTGAGTATGAAAAAATATACAGTTAATTGAAATCGTCAAAAATAATATCGAATTAGATTAAAAAATGTATCACAATTACAGTGACATGCATCTAATATAAATGTAACAATTTTGAATCTGTGTCCCACGTATTGATATACGTATACAAATATATATATATATATATATATACAGGTATGGGTATTTTATTTCATCCTTATCATAGAATTCTCTCCTGTACGTACGTAATAATTGATCTATATAAGTGATCTATTAATAACACTTTGGATACCACCGACATGGGCCATCTCCCACCACTACATTTCACTACCTCCTTCAAAGCAGAGCAGATTCATCTGCCATCTTCCGTCGGATATGAGGCTTACCCAAGATTCTAGTCTCATATATCAACTCAAAGATTGAACTTTTTGTGAGGTATTTTACACAACTTTCTTTGTAATTAAATGAAAGTAGAAAGAAATTAGTTTGTGAAATTCTTTCCAGAAAAAGATATAAACATCTTTCAATATATGTGTGTTTGCAATTCACTCAGTAATCAGTTTCCGGACTGTAAAACTATGTTAATTAAATACAGTACTATCAAAGTAAAGATGTTTCCAAATAAAAGAAAATAAAAGCATAAACTAGCTAGTTCAACGGTGTACGGGTCTGAATATTTTGGCTCATATAGGCAAAAAGTAATGGATCTAGGACCATTGTTACTTTTACTTTTTTTTTTTTTTTTTTAATGAATTTAGTTGTGAAAGTTTGATAAATTAATCTAAATTTTCACTTCATTCTGGTCTTCTGTTTTTCCTTCTTCTTCTATCGTGTTTAATTAGTATTCACTTATAATTCATCTACTCTCCGGCCGTTGCATTCAGACTGATCCGGTCCGAACAACTCAATAAAACACAAAAAAAAAAAAAAAAAAGCAATAACAATAACAAAACATCTCTCGTTTCTTGCTCTCTCTTATTCATGACATGAATCAGCCCTTCTGATTGTTATACAGCATCATCTCTTTGGCCACCATTCACCTACTGAAACCGGCATCCAATAAAAAAACATAGCTTTTAAGAGATAATGAATTTTTTTTTTTTTAAAGGTGCCAGAGATAAAATTTCTTATTTAACTTCTAAAGCACAAAGCTTTTCCAGCATCTGCAACCGAGTTAAATAAGAGTCTTCTAGAACCATGGGTGTTGTAGGGTAAAATCCAGAACCTTGGGCCTCGAATGGGGCCCACGTGTCATAAACGGGGGCATTAAATGATTGGAGACAGCTCTGTCCTAACTGCCACGGCGGATGGCGGTTCTCTTAAGAGTAGACTACTAGTTAAAGGAGTGGCATACGTAGACAGTCGACCACTTCGAGGAGTTGAGAACAACATGAGGTCGACCGCACCAACAACTGAAGGCAGAGATGGGTCTAAGAGTACTTATGAGGTTGAGTCAACGCAAGTCGAGAGACATGCGAGATTTGCTCCAGAATTTACTATGTAATTCAAACATACAGAATTTAAGCAACCAAATCATCCTGATTGATTAAAACCTCCATCTTTCAGGATGTTATCCCAATGAATGAGGGAAATAATCCTCAATTAAATGGAGAAAATAGTTGGGACAGTTGTCAAAGGATTTAAATCAGGGATTGTAAGCTAAGAAATCCCAAGGACTCATTGATGGGAATTAGTGTGTAATTTCTTCTAAAGATTAGTGGATTCTCTCCTCCCCACACTGGACATAGCTCTTGAATTAAGAGTCAACCACTATAATTCTTGTTTGTTCTTATAATTTGATTGCTTTTAATCATGTCTATAATCATTACATTCGCGCAAACCATTTAAAAATTTATTATATCTCTGTTGACGAATTTTTACCGTCAACAATGGGCTCCATCATAAGGGATTGGAGTTACAATTCAAAAGGTTAATTTAGTGACTGCAGTAGCTTACTCCCTTATAAACCCATCATAGCTCTCATCTATTGCCAATATGGGACTTTCACACCTCCAACAATCCCTCCTTCAAACAAAGTACCAAGGCCCCCCTTTGAATGATAGTCCATTCCATCCAATGGATGCTCCATCACGTCTCTATTGCATTAGATGGAGATCCCACCACTTTGTGCTCTCTATCGCATATGGAGTTCTCCACCGCGTCTATTGCTATGCGTTACCGTAGAGGGAAGGTCTACCTCAAGCGTTTCCAAAATTTTTCACCATTGCGATATTACCAAGAGCCCACATCTTCATTCGGCACATCAATGATTCATCACCGTGCGTACACTTGACAATATCTAGGTTCTGGCTCTGATATCAATTTTTAGAACTATGGGCTCTACCATAAGGGATTAATCTCGTGAGTGGAATAGCATACTCTTTTATAAACCCACCATAGCTCCCATTTGTTGTCAATGTGAGATTTTGTTCGCAGCTCCAACAGAGTCCATAAGCTCAAACGAGAAATGTTTTTACATTTCCTTTTGATGTACTCTTTTATTTTTTTTCTTTGAGTTTTCTGAACCCATTACTTCGACTGAACCTATGAGGGTTCTTTTTTTTCCAGCAAACTGAGTTTCCCTTCCTCAGTACGCCCATAACTCTTTCATTGGCCGCATCGCATTCTGTAGAGGATTGTTGAGGTCATGGTTTTGAACATCAAGAACCCCGTTAATCTCTTTCCTTGTTGTGATTCCATCCGTTTCCCCCCAATGATGTTTGATTTGGCGTTTTTTAAATTACGTTTTCCCCCAATGATACATTGATTTGGCTTGAATCACGTTTTCCCCTAATGATACTTTGATTTGGCTTGAATCACGTCTTCCCCCAATGATACTTTGATTTGGCTTCTTCTTTGTTTTACAAAAAAAAAAAAAAAAAGTTTTGATTCCTAACGTTTTACAAAAAAAAAAAAAAGTTTTGATTCCAAACCGTCACCATGTTTTAGAGCCAAAAGTTCGAGCCGCCTGCCCGTTATCTAAATGAAAACTTTGGGCCAAGTCGGGTCGGTTGCTATTTTTAACATGTCCTGGATGATCTGGCCCTAAAGGGAGAATTTCAGCCTAGCACAATCCTAATATGCGTAATGGGCCAGGGCATGCCCAGGTTGGCCCAAACTTTAATGAGAGAAATTTTAAAAGAAATCACTTCGGGTCGGGCCGAGGACCCGGAATGATTATTTGGGCCTAGATTATAGACCCTGATGGGCTCAAACATTTATGTGGGCCGGCCTGAGTCGAGATGGAGCTAACAATGATCGGCCTCGGGCCAGCCCGTTTGGTCTAACCTAAACTTACAACTCTAACCATGTTAAAACAATCAATTCACTCGCGTGCTGTGCTTGATTAGATGTACATCTCCAATGAAATGCTTAATTTTAATATTTGAGTAAGAAATTTACTCTGCAATGCAATGTTATTTTTCTAACAAATCTGTTACATAGTTGGTAGCAAACTTGCATATAGCAATAGCAAATTTGGATATATTTACTTTTCCATTTAATAATTACATCACATGCATGTTTAAAATATTTTAAAATTAAATTTTAGTTTTGCAACTTTCAAACTTAATGATTATGACAAAAACTAGATTTCGCATTTAAAATATTATTATACGCTATAGTACAAATGAAAATAACATATTAAATATGTCATTAATAGCGGAGGAGCCATGCTATGCTCCCCCACTAGCCTAAGTGGCTCTTTTATATTATTACTCCAGCAGTAATTTTTTTTGGCAGTTTATTCTTATTTTGCCCCTCCTAAAATTTCAATTTGTAATATTTATATCAAAGGTTTTAGAAAAATCTCATATATACTACAAATTTTAATTTTTGAATACTGATATACTCTTATTTTTATTTAAAATACCAAATAAACTAAAAATCAACCAAAATGTTGTATAGATGAGTAATTTTTTGATCCATAAACTTTAGAAAGTGAATTAAACTCGATTAAAATTGTTGTATTGTTGTTTTAGGAAAAAAAATTTTGTTTAATTCTTGCCCCCCTCAAGAAAATTTCTAACTCTGCTACTCGTCATTATCACACATTTTAATACCAAATATACAATTAGTATTAGCATTTGTATTGAAAATAATTTCAATTTGTTTGGTCAACAAGTTTAATTTTTTTCTAGCATGCATGTCATAATAATTTTGTATTAGGGAAATTTATATACAAACAAGACAGTCCGTGACTTGAGAATTTTTTAGCCTCATAATTTTTAAAAAGGACACTCTGACCATATTTAATTTTTTGTGTTAATTCGCTGGTGAAGTTCTGGAAATCAATCATAATTTCACTTCATTTTTATCTCTTATTTACTATAAATTAGCCATTTTATTTACATTATTAGTTTGTCGAGATACAAAAAGGAAGATGCACGGCGAATGTCAGGATATGAATCAGGGGACTACGAAAACATCACAGATCCAATCTGAAAAAACATCAGAGAGTCAAGCAAAGACAAGTCATGACGTCCGAGCTGCAAAAACATCAAAGAATCAAGCAAGGACAGGCAATCTTATTGACTTCCAAGCGGATCAAAAAACAAATCAAGCAAGGACATGCAAAGACGTCCAAGCTGAAGTTCTCAGAAAAGACTTTCTTGGGGTGACCAAAGATGAGGAACTGCTAAAAGAACTGGAGGAAAAAAATGACACCGAAAAAGCTCGAGAAGAAGAAGAAGAAGAACGGTCGTCACGGGCGAAGATACAAAGGGTTATGCATTACTTGCTGCAAAATAATGACAAAATCATAAAGCATTTTGCCCCAAGGGAGATTTCAGTCGGCCTACTTCGTGCTGGTAATTCCAAACTTTGTAAAAAGGAACTCAAGCTTAAATTGGCAAAGACATTCATCAAACGTGGCGGACAAACACCGGTTCGATTTCTCACCGAAATCATGTCCAACATCCCGGAACTAAAGACGCACTTCAGCAAGGGAGTTATTCCTGATGGATACAATGACGATTCCCTGGCCAGGTTGTTGTTCTTGGATGGGTGTGCAGTACTACAGTTTATACACAGTTATGTTTGGGATGAGTTAGAAGAGTTTAAGATCAATACCACTCAAGCAGCCTTTATCCAACAGGATTTGTTTTTGTTTGAAAACCAAATCCCATTTAAAGTACTTACACTGTTGATGGGCGTGATGCATATGGACACGACCGACGAGGAATGGGCAATGCCTTCCTTGTACAAGGCTAGCATTATCCAATTTGTCCATGAGAACAACATTTGTGCTCCGAGTAATGCATTCAATTATTACCGCAGACGATGGTATCGACAAATGATTGGAATACTCGACCAAATAAAGCCGCTTCACCTTCTTGACCTTCTACGGAAGGTATCAATATTTGGTAGTATCAAGAATGTCGAAGACGAAAGCGATGCCAGAAAATTCCTCTCGGATGTTTTTGATCAACCAAAGAATTGTCTCTTGAGTTTGGCTAATTGTTTTAGTGAAAAATGGTCTTATATTGCGGACAAACTGGAAAAGCGTGAATGCATTGAGCAACGGTCTCTTCGTAGTGTCCAAGAACTCAAATCATCTGGAATTACAATGAAGCTCAGCAATTCCCGAAGCTTGAAATCTGTATCTTTCGCTACTCATTGCCTTGGTATTTTTGGTCACCTTAAACTTCCTGCTTTGAATGTCAATGACTCAACAGTGCGTAAGTTGTTGAACCTGGTCGCCTACGAAACATGCCTAGACGATAGTGAGAGATGTTATTCGGTCACTTCTTACTTAAACTTTCTCGATTTGCTCATTGACACCGAACAAGATGTGAAAGACCTAAGGACGGCACGCATACTCCGGAATGCTCTTGGTAGCGACGCAGAAGTAGCCAAATTATTCAATACGCTAGGTTTAACTTACTTGCCCAAGTCTAATGAAGATCATTTTGAGAGGATCCACACTAAAATAGAAGAGCATTATGCGAAAAAGTGCAAGATCAAGATGGCTCAGATTTATGCTTCTTATCTCAGAAACCCCTGGCCTACTTTGGGCTTTTTCCTTGCTCCAACAGCTCTTTTATTAACGGTCGTTCAGACTTGGTATGCCATCAATCCCAGAAGGTGAGAGCTACAGCTCAAGGGCCGATCTTTCTTGGGAAAAATTTCAACGTTTGTAATTGATTTGAGTTTGCTGGTTCCTTTTCATCAATCTAGAATGAACGTCGACGTTGAAGTTGGTTAAGCTGTTAAGGATGCATATAGTAGGCCGTATTTGTGTTGTATAGTATTGTATAAATAAAATAAAATATTTGGTTTTGTATTGTAATTAGTCGTTGCATTAAGTTTACAATATGTTTTTCGTTATCTTTCTATAGTTAATTTCTGTCAATGTATTATTCCAACTGATCACTTTCTTGATCATCACATTCTCTCTATCTTCACTTTTCTTCTACTGATACACTTCCCTATCTCTCGCATTCTTTTTCTCCTCATTCCTATCTACACTTTCTTACTCCTCGTTATCTCTCTATACTTTCTCTCTTCTCATTTTTTATATTGGATATAAAGAAAAAACAAGAGCCATCAGTTTCTACTACTATCAATGTGTCAGGAAGCTATGATGATAAATGAACATTAACCAAGACACCCAAAGAATATTGCTCGTAATTACTCTCCAACATTGCGCGTTCTATTTTTTATGCAACTCCAATTTCTTTAGCAATACCTGCTATAATGATAAGTAAAAACTTTTGTTCAATTTAATAAATGAAAGAAAAATTAACATTGGTTTAGTAGCAAGTTTCTTTCTATCATGCACGCGTTCGTACTGCTTTGAATTAGGGAAAACTTGTTGGAAAAAAGGCTTGGAAACCCTTTTTTTGAGGTACCATTTTGAGGCTCAGTTTTGAGCAAGACTCACCTCATATTAGTGATAGTTCAATTTGGATTTGTGTTCTTCTTTGCGAGGAGATCGATATGATATTTTCGAACCATGCCTTACGTTTATGGCAATCTTTCTGATAGTGTCCAGGCTTATGACAGAAATGACACTTATCATCATTTTGTTCCTTCTTGTGGATTTGGACAGATGACGCTTTAATCTTTAATGGTCCTTTATTGCCCTTTCCATTCTTCTTTCCTGGTTTCTTTTTAGCTACCCATGAGATTAACTAAGTGAATTCCTTGCTTCTTAAACCTTGCTTCCTCTTGAATAAGCATACTGTGCGGTTCAGTCGCATTCCACTTATCCTTTATGGTGTTATAATTAATTTAGAATGGACCATATTCAGGAGGCAAGGAATTTATGATAAACTGCGCAAGGAAATTTTCACTCACTTCCATTCCCATGGATCTCAATCTTGCCGCTGTATTCGTCATGCATGATACGAGAACCATCAAACTTCACGGTGGTTAATGTACCCATTAATGTCCCACTAAGAGACTTATCAACAGACTCAGACTGGGAACGTTCTTCCACAAATTTCATAAATTCCACAGCACTTTTGGTCTTAGGAATTGTGGACTTGATGTTGTTTGCTACAGTCATTCGCATAAACATTAAGCTCAGTCTGTTTAATTTTTCCCAAACCTTATGGAAAGATCTCTGGGCGTCACTGCTATCTTTAGTAAGAGCAGCATGCTTATCAGTCACGAGTGCCAAATCAAGATCCAGAACACCTAGGTGAAACTGGACTTGTTCACTCCATTCAGAGAAATTGAGCCCATTAAATTTCATAATAGACGAAGCTTGCGAAAGAAGAGAGACAGAAACGGGTGCTGCAAAATACATAGAATGCTCATTCATTAATGCTTTGAGTTGTAAATTTAAACACCAGATTCGAGGAATTACACAGTTGTACCAAGTCATATTGCTTATGTGGTATACCCATCCAATGAGATTGTACCATTTAGATATTTTGTCTACGTCAACTTTTCATTTTTATTTTTTTCTTTCCTAATAGGTATTTGCATTGATTATTGAGTCAAAAACACTTATTATTCTACCAAATTTCTTTTTTTTTTCCTCAGCCGATGGAACAACAAGGGACATTCAGAGAAATTTGATTATTGTATTTTAGGAATAAAAATAATAATTTAAAATTAAGTCATTAAAATAAAGAAATTTGGTAGAACAATAAATGCTTTCGACTCAATAATCAATGCAAGTACTTATTAGGAAAGAGAAAAATAAAAGAAAAAAGCTGACATATGCAAAATATCTAAATGGTACAATCTCATTAGATGGGTGTACCACATAAGCAATATGACGTGGTACACTTGATGTACTGAAGTTCTCTTTTAGGTGATACAACAATAACAAATTGATGCTTAATTTTTAATTTCACGTAAGTGGCAATTAAATATACTCCACTTAGATACGCTTGCTATCTTTGGATATGCTAAACAAATCTAACCAAGTATATCAATTAACCACTTTAATGTTCATGATCATAAAATGACTAATCAACCTTTGGGCCATCCTTAAATATTTTATAATCTATGAACTTCACATACCCATTACATAAAAATATTACCATCATGTCATCTCATTCATAAGCATCACATAATCATAGGTAATTGAATTTTATTTAATTTGACATCTACGGAAACTTTCTAATTTGGCCACTTTGGTGACAAACAAATTATTCATAATATAGACATCAAATCAAATAATACTATTATACAATTTGGTAATCATAAAACTTTAAGGTTTGGCCACTTTGGTGACTAACAAACTACTTGGATTGATTTATTCAAATTGCATGATAATGACAATTATCAATATTATAGTATAAACAAAATGTTGATTCTTGATGAAACAAGCATTACCATAACGTCAGTATGCATAAATAAATGTTGTTTCAGAAGCAACAATATACAAACATCATAAAATAAAAATAATTAAATCATAATTCATCATCAATAACATACTGTCATATATATGGATTTGACAACTTCATCTGGGACATATATAATAAGTAATATTATAAAACTAAAATCTGTACACATGTTTAAATAGTAATTAGGTGCAAAATCGTTAATCAATCCTCGTGAACAAAATTTTGCGTTAAATACATAATATATAATGTATATGTGATCAATGAATAGAATTGACAGAACCGCTTCAACCAATACCAACTTAAAAAACGATAAATATATTGTACTTATTTTCAACGCATCATGCCAATCATAAATCATAAATTATAAACCATGTGAGTACGTGTCAAAAAAGAACTTCATAAAGATTTAACAACACTCATGGCCTTCACTTGTGCCGAGCAATTGCAACAAATCAAATACCTTTTTTTAAAATTTTGCAGCCGAAAATCATAAGAATAATAATAACATAAATAAATCTATCATTCATATAAATGTGTGTGTATATATATACATGTTTATCGCAAATTGAAGAAATACATAAAATCAATATAGTGAATCACGGAATGCTAAACTCAAAACTCACTATAAGCAGTGTAACCGTAATTTAATTTTTTTCTATCATCATAATAAAAAAAAAAAAAAAAAATTGACATCATAAGAGAGAAAAATTGATAACATCAACGGAAAATCATAAGTTCAAAAAACTTAGGGCTCTGACACCACATGTAAGTAATTCTTTAATTATGCAAATAAACTATAATTTTGCATAAACGATAATGTCCAAGATCTTAGAACTAAATGATTTTCACGATTCAATAATTAGAGAGAAAATGTACATTGATCCATGAGAAATTCTTGAAGAGACCAAATTGATCGCACGATGATTTAAAAAAAAAAACTGTGTTTTTCTCCCCTAATGATCCTCTTTCTAACATACATACTAATAGAACTCATAAGCTTATTTATAGGTAGAGAGAGGACCAATTTCCTAATTTCATCAAATATTCTCTTTCTAATAAAGAACCATTAATTTAAGGAAACTACCATTTCTCTGGATGACCAATAGGATTTACCTTTTATTATTTTATTAACCACTGCGTCAAATTTTCTTAAATTGGAAATATCTATAAATGCACATGGGACACTTAATGAAAATTCTCACAGAATAGCCATGGAATATGAAATCTTCTCTGTAGATCTTTCGGACCCTTTAGATCTTTCTCAAAATAGAATGCAGGATACAGCTACGAAATCGGCATCCCACTCCTGAACCAACACGATCAATATAGCCCCTGGAAAAATACAATAAAAACCTGAAGGGCCAAACCAATGTATATTTCAAATAAAAGAACTTGTATGCTATCTTGTATAATATTAATGCCATTCCCTTTTTAATACGCTTCTTTCTACCTCGACAGCCAACACATTCATCAGTCAAGAATCAAGGTATTTTTTCAACCAACTCTGTGTGAAGTGTGAACTGAATGTTAGTTGTGAAGTCAGTTTTTAGCTTCTTTGGAGTTAAGTTCATTGGACTTCTGAAATCAGTTATTAAAAGTGAAAGTGAAGTACTGATGTTTATTATTTAGTAAAGTTCGTTTCATGTTCAATTTCTTGATATATTTGTTGGCTGGTCTTTTTTGGAATTGAACTATTATGAAACTTTTTTGTTGTTTTTTCCCCCCCCCCCTTGAATTGAACTTTGAATCTGAGTATAAAAAAAAAAAAAAAAAAAAAAAAAACTTGCTTTTTTCTTTTTTCCGGATTTTTTTAGTCTTTTCTGTGTAACAAGCCCATTGGGCTAAGCATCAGGCCCAACCCGCCCATTGTAATCTTTTTTCTTTTTTCCGTCAAGTCGAGTGGTGCTCACTGATCAACCTTTGTAAGGAGATTCTAGGCAACGACGACAACATCAAGGAGGGAGTCATTGAGTGTGTAAGACTGTTCGGTCCTTTGTAATCTTTTGAACTTAGTGGATTGATCATTGTCTGGGCGTGGCCCCGCAGAGTAGGTGTGCGCACCGAATTGCGATATCATTTTTTTGGTGTCCTTTACGTTTCTGCATTAGTTTCCTGCTTTACTATTTTGCTGGTTTAATTTTAAATTTTCTGTCACAAAAAGTGTTACAGTAAAGTGTTGCAACACCACTTGTAACACCAGGATAAAAACAGACCTTACAATAATAACTAAAGGATGAATAGTATTATAAAAAATGGTTAAAGGCACCAACATTACATGACCCTACTTTTAGTAGGTTTTACTGTGCCCAATTGAATAAAGTATTGTTATTTACTT